GAATACAAAGTAGACTCAGGGAATGACGCGCACAATGATACTTGTTGGAGACGTAAGTAGATTCCAGTCGATGTAGGTGCTGGAGAGCATTTGAAGAATTTCAGTGGTTAGACTTTTGGTTTAAATAGCTTCTTGATGGTAGCATGTAGGTTAGATGTAAGGAAAACAAAACTAGAAATGGTGTAGGGGAGGGATGACAGAGTAGTCAAGTTAGGGATAAAGAAGAGGGTGCTGAATGGGGAAAATATTTAGTAGCTAAGAGCTAAAATGGGTAGGATTTCGCTGATTGGATGTGAAGGAATCCGGAATGACTGCCAGGTTTCTGGCTATGGCAACCTATTCATTCACAGAGATAGGGTTTATAGGAAGAGAAGCGTATTGTGGAACAAGAGATGATTTTAGATTGTACATATTTCCTTTTCTTTGCTAAAACCTGTAATAACCAAAACTTAGTTTTTATAGGACTGTGAATGAAGAGACACATGGAGAGGGGTAGCCAGATTTTGCAGAACTGTTTCTAGTCCTATAAATGTATCTTTACCTGGATGATTTCTTTGCTAAAAACCACTGTGCTCACCAAATGGGCCTGGGGGCTAGGATGGCACAACACTGTTCTGCTTTAAATTTTTTCTTTTAGTTTAAAAGATTAATTTATTTTTTATTAAACCATAATTCATGTAAGATTCATCCCTTTTTAGTCTCCAATTCAGTTATTTTTCTTTGGATATTCACTATGTTGTGCAGCCATTGCAAGTCCAGAACATTTCCATCACCCCAAAAAGAAACTCTGTACTTACTAGCAGTTATTCCCAATTTTCCCCTCTCTCTATCCCTTGACAACTACTAATCTACTTTCTGTCTCTATGAATTTGTCAATTCCGGATATTTCATGTAAATGGAATCATGTGATATGTGGCCATTTGTCTAAGGCTTCTTTTACTTAGTCTGCTTTCATGATTCACCCCAAGTAATAGTACTTCATTCCTTTTTATGGCTGAAAAATATTCCGTTGTATGGATATACCACATTTTGAATATCCATTCATAGTTAATGGACATTTGCATTGTTTTCACTCTTTTGGCTATTATGAGTAATACTGTTATGGACATTCGTGTATAAGTTTTTTGTGCAAGTTTTCAGTTCTCTTGGATATATTCCTAGGAGTGAAATTACTGGGTCATATTTACCATATGTTTAACTTTTTGAGGAGTTGCCAAATTGTTTTCCACAGAGGCTGCAGCATTTTACATCCCCACCAGCAATTCAAGAGGGTTAAATTTTCCACATCCTCTCCAACACTTTTTTTTTTTTAATAGCCACGTTACTGAATGCAAAGTGGTATCTCATTGTGGTTTTGATTTCCATTCCTGTAATTTTAATGATGTTGAGCATCTGTACATATGCTTATTCACCATTATCTTCCTTGGAGAAATATCTATTCATTTGTTTTGCTCATTTAAAAATTTGGGTAATTTGTCTTTTTATTGTTGAAGTCATAAGAGTTCTTTTATATATTCAGGATATTAGACCCTTATCAGATATATGGTTTGCAAATATTTTCTCTCATTCTGTGGGTTGTCTTTTCACTGTCTTGATGGTGACCTTTGAAGTATGAAGATTTTCAGTTTTGATGAAAACTATTTTTTTCTTTGGTCGTTTGTACTTTTGGTGTCATATCTAAGAAACCATTGCTAAAAATAAGGTCATAAAGTTTTACAACTGTGATTTCTTTTAAGAGTTTTAGCTCTTACCTTAGGGTCTGTGATCCATTTTTAAATTAATTTTTATATGTGGTATGAGTATGGGTTCAGATTCATTCCTTTTCATGTGGGGATCCACTTGTCCCAGTAACATTTGTTGGAAATATTATTCTTTCTCCATTGATTTGTTTTGGTACTGCTGTTCAAAATCAATTGACCATAAATTTAAGTTCCTTTCTGGATACTCATTTCTATTCCATTGTTCATTTGCCTATCCTTAGGCCATTACTAAACTGTCTTGATTATGATAGCTTTGCTGTAAGCTTTGAGATAGGAAAGTATGAGTAGTCCAAGCTTGCTTGCTTGCTTGCTTCCTTCCTTCCTTGTCTGTCTGTCTGTGTCTTTCTATGGCTGTATAGCTATAGAGAAGGAAATGCTATACCTTGCATTTTTCCATGAATTTTAGGATCAGCCTGTTCATTTTTGCAAAAGAGGCAGTTGGAATATTGATAGGGAGTGCATTGATTCTGTAGATCACTTTGGGGGAGTATTGCCATCTTGACAAAATATTAAGTCTTCCAATCTATAAACATGGGACATCTTTCCATTTGTTTAGAACTTAAATTTATTTCAACAGTGTTTTGTAGTTTTCAGAGTGTGTAAGGTTTGCACTTACTTTGTTAAACTTATTCCTAAGTCTTTTATTCTTTTTGATGCCTTGTAAATGGAAATGTTTTCTTTCTTTCTTTCTTTTTTTTTTTTTTTCAGAGAGAGAGGGAGGAGGGGTGGCAGAGGGAGAGGGAGAGAGAGAATCTTAAGCAGGTCTCACGCCCAGTGTGGAGAGCCCCATGTGGGGCTTGATCTCAGGACCCTGATGAGATCATGATCTGAGCCGAAATCAAGAGTTGGATGCTTAACTGACTGAGCCACCCAGGCACCCCAATGGAAGTGTTTTCTTAATTTCATTTTCACATTGCTCATTGTTATTGTATAGAAATAGAACTGATTTTTTCTGTATTGATTTTGTATTCTGCAGCTTTGCTGAGCTTGTTTATTAGCTCTAATAGTTTCTTATTTAGAATTCTTATTTTAGAATTTTAGGCCTATTTAGGCTTTTCTGTATGTAAAATTATGTCATCTTCAAATGGAGATAGTTTTATTTTTTCCTTTCCAATATAGGTGCCTTTTACTTTTTTCTTGCCTAACTGCCCTGGCCAGAACCTCCAGTACAATGTTGAATGAATATGGAGAAAGTGAATATCCTTATCTTGTTCCTGATTTTAAGGTGAAAGCTTTCAGTCTTTCACCACTAAGTATGATGTTAGCTGTTGGTTTTTCATAGATGCCCCTTATCAGGTTGAGAAAGTGCCCCTCAGTCCTAGTTTATTGAATGTTTTGATCATAAAGGGTGTTTGATCTTGTTAAATGTCTTTTCTGTGTTTATTGAGATGATCATGTGATTTTTCTTTTCCTACTAATATGGTATATAACATTGATTTATTTTTGTATGTTGAACTAACCTTGTATTCCTGGGATAAATTCCACTTGGTCATGGTATATAGTTCTTTTTATATGCTGCTATATTTGGTTTGCCAGTATTTGATTGAGGACTTTTGCATTTATATCATATATTGACGTGTGGTTTTCTTTTCTTGTGTGATATATTTGTTTGGCTGTCATATCAAGGTAATAATGGCCTCATAGAATGAATTAGGAAGAGTTCCCTCCTTTTTTATTTTTTGGCAGAGTTTGAGAATGATTGGCATTAATTCTTCTGTAAACTTTCGGTAGAATTCTCTAGTGAATCCGTCTGGTCCTGAGCTTTTCCAGGTTGGAAGTTTTTTTTTTTTTTTAAATACACATTTCTTGTGAATTGGTAACTGGGGTATTGTAGGGAGAGGCAGAGATCAGAGTAAAGGGGTATTTTTTTTTTTTTTTTTAGAAAAGGTATAATCAGGTTTATTTAATACAGGTTAATGAAGTATAGAAAGCAATTTGGAAGGAATACTTATATGGATCAGAGTTATGAAACAGACTTTGGAGAGGAGAATAGACATTAAAGGGTGTTTTTCTAGGTAGAAAGGGCCTAAAAAGGGGAGATTGGTCATACAGGTTTTGGGTTGAACCCTGGAAAGAATCAAACCTGATTAGACTTCAGGTTTTTCTTAAAAGCGCATTTTTCTTTTTCCCCCTACCATTCTTCTTTCTGTGGTTGAGTAGTATCTGGGGCCTGGTAACAAAAGAATAACCCCATTGGGTGAGGATGAATAATGAACTGACCCAGGGAAAGATGAAATACAGGAGGAACTGTAAAAGCCTTAAGCTGTTTTATGCCAAAGACCTGTTAGGGAGAGAAGTAGTGTGGAAAGGCCATGGTTACAGGATCATGGTCTTTGAAGGATTAATAGAAATAGTTACCTTTACTGAGTACCTGCCCTGCATGTTGAAACAGCATTATTCCCAAGACAGATAAGAGAAGGGAGCCACAGAAGTAGGGTAGAGGCATTCAGATTCCAAACCCAAAGCTTCATCGGTGGTTTTCAAACTTTTTTTTTTTTTTTTTTTAAGCTGCAGATCTATTTTTTCCCCCACTGTGGGGAAATCATAAATGGAATCCAGTATACTCTACACGTAAAACCTAAACTGGTTGATCTCAGTGTTAGAGGACCTGAACTCAGATTCTTTCTTTGGCCTTCTCTCCGCTTGTTCTGAGAAGCTCTGAGGTGTCTCTGTAGATTCCAGTTTGCAAGTCACTGCATTATACCATAGTGTTATTTTTCATCACCTGCCAGAAAAATATACTGTGATACCTTCTGTTTGGTAGTCTGGTAGCCCATTTCATGGAAAGGGTGTTAATAGTGTTTACACATAAACTTGTACTTATGTTTGTGTCTTAGTTTCTGAGGGCTCCTATTATTGATAAAAACACCACAGACTGGGTGGGTTAAACAAGTAATGTTGTTCTCAGTTCTGGAGGCTGAGAAGGCCAAGATCAAGGAGCTGCAGATCCTGTGTCTGTGAAGGCACACTTCCTGGTTCATTCTTCTCATTATTACCTCACATGGTGGAGAGGTCCAGGGAAGTCTCTATGGCCTCTTATGAGGGCACTGATTCCATGCACAAAGGCTCTGCGTTCATGATCACCTCCCCAGAGCCCTACTTCCAAATACCATCACCCTGGGGATTAGGTTGCTACATATGAATTTTGGGGGGATACAAACATTCCATGTATATCAGTTTGTAATCAACACTTTTTATCAAACGTGCATTTTTGAAAAGTTAATTTTCTTTGTCTTGAAGGTTGTGGCAGCATTGCCTGAAGATATGAGAGGTCCTAAGCCCTATGGTTTCCCATGGGAATTGGTGATATGTGCAGGTGTTGTTGGATTTTTTGTTGTTCTCTTGTTTTTGTGGAGAAGTTTTCAATCGGTAAGTAACGAATGCTAAGAGAATATACATGTGTCTTAAGGTTGAACAGTTAATATGAGAAACAGATCTTTTATTTTAAGGAAACAAGTTAGCTTGTTTGTTTGTTTTAAGATTTTATTTATTTGACAGAGAGACACAGTGAGAGGGGTAACACAAGCAGGGGGAGCGGGAGAGGGAGAAGCAGGCTTCCCACCCTGCAGGGAGCCCCATGTGGGGCTCGATCCCAGGACCCTGAGATCATGACCTGAGCTGAAGGCAGATGCTTAATGACTGAGCCACCCAGGTGCCCCAAGTTAGCTTATTGTTAAATGCATTTCTCACGTTAATGTGTGGCTACTAGAAGCTGACTATGGATTCAGAGGAATTTTTTTAAGTGTAAAAATTTTAAAGACTTTATTTGTAGAAGTATTCTACACTAATATTAAAATCCTACATTTATATTTTATTTATTTATTTTGATCTGTTTATTTTTAAAAAGATTTTATTTATTTATTTGAGAGCTAGAGCAAGAGAGAGAGAGAGAGAGAGAGAGAAAGAGAGATTATGAGGGGGGAGGGGCAGAGGGATAGGGGGCCTGATGTGGGGCTGGATTCCAGGACTCTGGTATTGTGACCTGAGCTGAAGACAGGTGCTTAACTGACTAAGCCACCCAGGCGCCCTGTGATCTGTGTAAAGGGTATACTAAACATCTGTGAATGTACCACTCACTCTGCAAGCAAAGCCATTGACTGTTACTTATATTTAGGTGATATTCCCTAATTGCATCCCCTTTTCCCCTTTCTTCCTTGTACTAGAGGTAACCCTGTTCTGGATTCTGTGTTGATTATTCATATGCCTTAAAAATTTTTTTGGTCATATCTACATATATTCCCCAGAAGTATAGTATGTAATTTTGTTTGGTATCATGCCATAAGTCATATTTTGGAATTTTTTTAGTTTATCCTCTATTACTAAGATTCATCCATGTTTTTAGATGAGGGTGTGTTTTTTTCCATTTTGATTGCTTTAGAATGTTACATTGTAAGAATATACTAGTTTATACCTTGGGGTTAAAAATACACTGAATCCCTACCTCATGCCAGACAAAAAAGTTGTATTCAAGATGGATAAGAATATACACAGCAGCACTATTTGTAATAGAAAAAAAACCTGGAAATAACCCAAATGTCCCAAATCAATGTACCAGTATGAAACATCTTTTCATCTTCTTTAAGATGTTTTCTTAGGAACAGAAATTATTTGAAAATATTGTTTTCAACACTTCAGTTCTTGATCCATCTTGAATATAATCATTTTCCTACCCATCTGCCATGCCACATATTAGAGTTCCACATGCATGTAGATCTTTTCTTTATTCTATTCCATTGTTTATTGTTGAAAGCAGATATATGTATATCATTCTGTATCCATCAACTAGATCAAGCTTGCTTGATCTAATTTGTGTTCATGTGTTATGTTCTTGCTCTTTTTTGTTTGTTTCTCTCCTCTATCAAAAAGGAAGAGAATTTGCCTGAATTTCACTCTCATGATAGATTTATCAGTTTCTTTTTGCAGTTCCATCAATTCTTGCTTTACATATTTTGAGCATATTTTATTAGGTGTATATATGTTTAGAAGTGCTATATCTCTTCTTGGTGGATTGAACTTTTTATCAATATCTGGCGATCCTCTTTAATGTTTGTGTTACTTCTCTCTTATGGTTTCTTTTATCTCTTGTTATAGCCATATCAACTTTCTTTTGGGTGATGTTTGATGGGTCTTTTTCCATCTTCTGCTTTTCAGCCTTCCTATGGTCTTCTACTTAATGTGCATCCTATGTAAATTTCTTTTATATCTAATCTGAAAATCTCTGTTTTTTTTCCCTATTGAGTTTAGTCTAACTATATATATTATGTTTATTGATGTATTTGGACGAGTTTCTTTCAGTTTAGTTTATTTATTCCACTTTTTATGTTTCTTTTAAATTCTTTTTGCATTGGTAAGTAAATCTTCCTGCAATGAAGACAAGAACCTTAGCATACTCTCACATCCCTTGGTTTCTTTCACTTTCCAACCCAGACATATTTCTTCTTTTCTTTTTTTTTTAATTTTTTTAAGATTTTATTTATTGGGGCACCTGGTGGCTCAGTTGGTTAAGCATCTGCCTTTGGCTCAGGTCATGATCCCAGGGTCCTGGGATCGACCCCCACAGCGGGCTCTCTGCTTAGTGGGGGGGCCTGCTGCTTCTCCTTCTGCCTGCATTCCCTCTGCTTCTGCTCTCTCAGATAAATTAAAATCTTAAAAAAAAAAAGATGATGTTTATTTATTTGAGAGAGAGAGAGCATGCATGAGCAGGGGGAGGGGCAGAGGGAGAGGGACAAGCAGACTTCACACTGAGCAAGGAGCCTGACCGTGGGGCTCCATCCCATGACCCTGAGGTCATGACCTGAGTTAAAATCAAGAGTCGGACGTTTAATCAACTGAGCCACCCAGGCTCCCCTTTCTCCTTTTCTTTTCTTTGTTTTTAACTTTCTCCTCTACCCTGTCCCTATCCCGTACGACCACAAAAAAATATTACCAAGATATTTGGTTACTCTTTTTTTTTTTTTTTTTAAGATTTATTTATTTGACAGAGAGAGATAGAGCAGGAACACAAGCAGGGGGAGTGGGAGAGGGAGAAGCAGGCTTCCCGCTGAGCAGGGATCCCGATGCGGGGCTCGATCCCAGGACCCTGGGATCATGACCTGAGCTGAAGGCAGGCCCTTAACGACTGAGCCACCCAGGCGCCCTGATATTTGGTTACTCTTAATTGACATATCTCTTGCAGGGTCTCCTGGATTTACTTCTTCCCGTATTTGAATACTTCTTTCGAAATTGTTTTTAGTGTAGATCTTTGTGTGGCAAACTTTTTGAGACTTTATTTTGAGTGCTTGAGGATATTTGAATTAAGCTCCCACATTGGAATCGTAATTTGTTTGATATAAACGTTCTAGGTCCCAAGTTCAAGTTCTGTCCTTTTAATACTTCAAACCCTTACTTCCTTTTAATACTTTAAACCCTTACTTCCTTGTCTTTTTAGAATTCTTTTTAGAATTCCTTGGAATCTTTTAATATGAGATCTTTCATCCTTTTTTAATCCTAGGAGATTCCTTCTGCATTTTACATTTTGTTTTTCTCTTTTTGAGACTGTGTTTTTAGATCCTGCCCCTTCTACTTCTGTCTTCCATATTTCTTAACTTTGGTTTTTCAATTTTTTTATAGGTTCTTATTACCTTTTGAGATAGGTCCTCAATGTGATGATTCAGTTCACTAATTTAGTCTTCATCAGTACTGATTCTACTGTACTTTGACTTTAAAACTTAAAAAAAAAAAACTTTAAAATTTTATCCCTATATAATCTTCTGTAGATGATTTTAGTCTTCTAAGCCTGTTCACCTTTACAAATGGGATTTTTCCTTCATTTTTTTAGAGAGAAAGAGATTAAAGAAGAAAAAGATTTTGTAGTCAGTTCAATCCATGGCCCTATGGTAACATTTTCTCAAACTCTGTTATTTTGGATGTTATCACTGGGGGAGAGGATACTAAGGGCTTCCTGAAATAGTTTGTTTTAGGGTCAAGTATATTTGAAGAACAGTGGGATAAATGAAATGAAACAGGTCTCTTTAAGGTAGAGTTATTTCAGAGCCTTTAATATGCTAATACATAATGTGACTCTTCAGTAGAGAGACTCTAATATGTAGCATTTCTTTCCTTTTGAAAAAAGAACACTTTCAGTTAATGTATATTCATACTAAGGCAATAAGAAACCAGTTATTTTTCAGTTGGTAGAAGTTAAATAGATTAGATTTACTTGAATACATATTTGTTTTAATGTAATTTTTGTTAAAAATTTGTTTCAGGTTAGAAGCCGGCTTTATGTGGGTAAGCTTTTTTCTATTCTAGATCTCATCATTATTGTTCATAATTTTGAAACTTAAAACAATTTACATATGATGATGATATGAACTTTCTTTTCAGGGAGAGAGAACAAGCTTGCTATAGAACTTTCTACACTAATTGATGAAAAATGTAAACTACTTGAAAAATTTAGCCTTGTTCAAAAAGAGGTAAGATATTTTTGAAAATATTAACATTCATGTTAGAGTCAGAGGACTTAGTACTTTTCAAGGCAGATACTTCAATGTAAGTTTGAGATTATTAATGCTTTGTAAAGTGTGAGCGTTCAGTTGCCCTTTATATTACCAATCTTATTAATTTTAACCATTGTGGTACATGTATATAGTGGTGTCTCATTGTGGTTTCAGTCTGTATTTCCCTGATAATGAGGTTAAGCACTTTTTCAAGTATTTATTGGTCATGTTGGATATCCTTTTTGTGAAGTTCCCTGCTCGAGGTTTTTTTTTTTTTCATATTTGAAAAGGTGTGGCTATCTCTCTTTTTCCTTTTTGGTATGTAGAATATTTTCTATATTTGAATACGAGCCCTTTGTCAGATATATGTCCTGCAAATATTTTCCGCCACTGTGTGGTTTGCCTTTTTATTTCAAACGGTAAGCAGAAGTTCTTAATTTTAACATAGTCTGATTTGTCAATCTTGTCTTTTGATGGTTGCTTTTTGTTTCTTATTTAAAAATTTTTGACTACTCAAGGATATGGAAATACTCTTTTGTGCTATTTTTTAGAAACTTTGTTTTACTTTTCTCATTTAGTCTTTGTATAAGTTTGCTAGGGCTGCCATAACAAAATACCGAAGGCCAGCTGGCTTATCCTACAGAAATTAATATTTTCACAGTTCTGGATCAAAGTGTTGGCAGGTTTGATTTCTTATGAGGCTCCTCTCCTTAGCCTGCACGTAATCGCCTTCTTGCCCGTACCTCACATGGTCTTACCTCTGTTCAGGTGTTCATTTCTGGTGTCTTTGTGTGTCTATATTTCCTCCCCCTTTTTTTAAAAAATTTTATTTATTTATTTGAGAGAGAGAGAGACAGAACACAAGAAGGGGGAGCAGCAGAGGGAGAGGGAGAAGCAAGCTCCCTGCTGAGCAGGGAGCCTGATGCAGGGCTGGATCCCAGCACCCTGGGATCATGACCTGAGCCAAAGGCAGAGGCTTAACTGACTGAGCCACGCAGGTGTCCAATGTTTCCTGTTCTTACAGGGACATCAGTCTGATTAGATAGATTAGGGCTCACCCTAAAGGCCTCATCTTAATCATCTCTTTAAAGGGCCTCTCTCCAGATACAGTCACATTGTGAGGTACTGGGCCTTTAACATATAAATTTTGGGGAAAACAGTTTAGCCCAAATGTAATTAGTCTTTAATTCATCTGGAATTGAATCTGTGATGGTATGATTTGGAAGTTAAGAGTCAGTGTTTTTCATATGAATATTGAATTAGCCAGTACCATTTATTGAAAAGACCCATTTTTTCCTTTGTTCTGTAGTGTCATCTTAAATCAAGTGGCCATATATATCTGAGTCTTTCTATGATATCTTCTGTTCTGTTGGTCTGTTTCTTAAAATTCTTGTGCCAATTTCATGCTATTTTTTTTTTTTTTTCAATTTCATGCTATTTTAATCTACTGTATTTTTATAACAATTCTTGATAGCTGACAGTGTAAACCTCCATGTTCGTTCTTAAAGATTGTCTTGGTGATCTTGGCACTTTGCTATTCCATGTAAATTTTAAATCAGGGACGCCGGGGTGGCTCAGTTGGTTAAGCGTCTGCCTTCAGCTCAGGTCATGATCCCAGGGGCCGGGGATTGAGCCCCACATCGGGCTCCCTGCTCACTGGGGAGCCTGCTCCTCCCTCTGCCTGCTGCTCCCCTTGCTTGCTCAGTCTCTCTCTCTCTCTCTCTGACAAATAAATAAATAAAAATCTTTAAAAAATTTTTTTCTTTAAAGATTTTATTCATTTATTTGCTGAGGGCTGATGGAGCACAGCAGGGGAAGCAGCAGAGGGAGAGAGAGAAGCAGATTCCCTGCTGAGCAGGGAGCCTGATGTGGGGCTCAATCCCAGGACCCTGGGATCATGACCTGAGCTGAAGGCAGATGCTTAACTGACTGAGCCACTCAGGTGTCTCCCCCGCCAAATTTTTTTTTTTTTAAAGATTTTATTTATTTATTTGAGACCGAGAGAATGAGAGAGAGAGAGCACATGAGAGGGAGGAGGGTCAGAGGGAGAAGCAGACTCCCTGCAGAGCAGGGAGCCCGATGCGGAACTCGATCCCGGGACTCCAGGATCATGACCTGAGCCGAAGGCAGTAGCTTAACCAACTGAGCCACCCAGGCGCCCCCCCCCCCCCTTTTTTTTTTTTAAATCAGTTCATCAGTTTACACACATAGCCTGCTAGGGATTTGATTGGGATTACATTGAATATATGATCAATTTGGAGAGAACTGATGTCTTTATAATGTTGAATTCTTATCCATGGACTATAGTATATCCCTCTATTTATACCTTTTTAAAATTCTCTCACTGTTGTTGTATACATTTTTGTGTTGCAGTGTTTAACATCTTTTCTTAGATTTATTCCCTAGTATCTGATGACTTTTGAAACTATTCTAAATAGTACAGTTTTTTCGTAACAGCTTTGTTGGGATATAATTCACACACTATGCAGTTCAGCCATTTAAAGTATACAAATGACTGGCTTTTGGTATATTTACAGCTGTACATCCATTGCCATAATTTTTGTACATTTTTATTACACCAAAAAGAAACCCTGTATGCCTTAGTTATCACCCTTCACCCAGTTTCCCCTACTGCCAAACCCTAGACAACTTATCTACTTTGTGTTTCTATAAATTTGCCTATTCTGGGTTCCATTCACATAAATGGAATCATGTAACATGTGGTTCTTTGTGTCTGCCTTTTTTCACTTACCAAAATGTTTTCAAGGTTCATCCATGTTGTGTATAGATTTGCCTATTCTGAACGTTTTACATTAATGGAATCATACGATATGTGATCCTTTGTGACTGGCTTTTTTCACTTACATTATGTTTTCAGGGTTAATCCATGTTGTAGCATGTACTGGTACTTACTTTCTTTTTTTGCCAAGTAATATTCTGTGCCACTATTTATATGTCTCTTTGTCAATTTGGTTATTCTGTTTTTTGGGTGCTATAAATGATGCTGCTATGGACATTCATGTACAAGTTTTGTGTGGATATATGTTTTTAATTCTTTTGGGCATATACTTATGCATGAAATTGTTGGATCTATATTTAACTTTTTGAGGAAATGCCAAATTGTTTTCTATAGTGGCTGTGCCAGTTGACATTCCTTCTGGAAGTTTGTGAGTCTAGTTTCTCCACATCCTTGCTGTCCTAGTGTGAAGTGTGTAGTTTTAATTTGCATTTCTCTGATGGCTAATTGTGTTGAACATTTATCTTTTCATGTGCTCATTGGCCATTTATTTATCTTCTCTTGAGAAATGTCTCCTCAGTTCCTTTGCCTATTTTTAAATTGGGTTATTCATCTTTTTTTTTTTTAATGTTTTCCCATTCTTTTTTTTTTTAAGATTTTATTCATTTATTTGACAGAGAGAGACACAGCGAGAGAGGGAACACAAGCAGGGGGAGTGGGAGAGGGAGAAGCAGGCTTTCTGCCAGTCAGGGAGCCCAATGCGGGGCTCGATCCCAGGACCCTGAGATCATGACTTGAGCCGAGAGCTTAACCAACTGAGCCACCCAGGCGCCCCGGTTATTCATCTTTTTATTATTGAGTTGTAACTTTATATATTGTAGATATGAGCTTCTTATCAGATATGTGATTTGCAAGTATTTTCCCTCATTTTTGTGGGTTGTCTCCTCACTTTCTTGGTGGTGTCTTTGAGGCATAAAAGTTTTTAATTTTTTTTTTTAAATTTTATTTATTTATTTGAGAGAGAGCACTAGTGGTGGGGAAGGGTAGAGGGAGAAGGAGAAGGAGACTCCCCACTGAGCAGGGAGGTCGAAGTGGGGCTCCATCCCAGGACCCTAAGATCATGATTAATGACAGATTAATCAACTGAGCCACCCAGGTGTACCTAAGAGTTTTTAATTTTGATAATGCTTAGTTTATCTACTTTTTCTTTTGTTGATTCTACTTTTGGTGTCATATCTAAGAAATGGTTGCTTAAAACAAGCTCACAAAGATTTACACTTGTATTTCTTCCTAATAGTTTTGTGGGATTCAATCTTATGTTTAGGTCTTTGATCTGTTTTGAATTAGCTTTTTAGAAATTGTGAGAGGTAGGGGTGCGTCCAACTTCATTCTTTGGCATGTGGATATCCAGTTTTTCCTAGCACCATTTGCTGAAAGAACTATTCTTTCCCCCATTGAATTGTCGTGGCACTCTTGTCGATAATCAGTTGACTGTAATTGTGAAGGTTCATTTCTGGATTCTCAACTTATTTCATTGATCTGTTATGTCTATCTTTATGTCAGTTCCAAACTGTCTTGATCAGTGTAGCTTTGTAGTAAGGTTTGAAATTGGGAAATGTAAGTCCTTTAACTTTGTTCCTTTATTTCAAGATCATTTTGACTATTCTGAGTCCTTTGCATTTTCTGCGAATTTTGGGATCAGCTTGCAATTTCTGCAAGTAGATTAACCAGAATTTTTTTTTTTAAGATTTTATTTTTGGGACGTCTGGGTGGCACAGTTGGTTGAGCATATGACTCTTGGTTTCGGCTCAGGTCATGATCTGAGGGTTGTAGGACCGAGCCCTTCATCGGGTTCTACGCTGAGCTTGGAGTAGGCTTGGGACTCTCTCACTCTGCTCTCCCCCACCCCCACTAAAATAAATAAATCTTAAAATTTTTTTTTTTTTAATTTTTAAGTAATTTCTGAATCAAACATGGGGCTTGAATCCACAACACTGAGATCAAGAGTTGCATGCTCCACTGACTAAGCCAGCCAGGCTCCCCAGATTAGCTGCAGTTTTGATAGGGCTTATGTTGAATCTGTAGATCAATTTGGGGAGTATTGCTATCTCAATGATATTAAGTCTCTGATCTATGAATACGAGATGTCTTTCCATTTACTTGGGTCTTCTCTATTTCAATAATGTTTTATAGTTTTTAGAGTTACGGGGCACTTGACTTAGTCAGTTAGTAGAGCATGCTATCTTTGATGTCAGTATTGTAAGTTCGAGCCCCATGCTGGGTGTAGAGATTACTTAAAAATAAAATCTTAAACAAAGAAACAAAAAATAGAGTATAATGCTTACACTTTTTTTGGTTAAATTTACTCCTACATATTTTATTCTTTTTGATGCTATTGCAAATGAATTTTTTAAATATCATTTTTTATTTGCTCATTGCTGGAATAGTGTTTATTCTCCTCTTATTTTCTAAGCATTTGTGGGACCTTTAGTGAAGTATCTACATTTTTATTCCTGATAATTGGTTGTTTGCACTTCTCTCTTTTTTATCCTTTATCAGCCTTGTCACTGTTTTATCAAATTTTTTAGTGCCTTTATTTTATTTATTTATTTATTTATTTATAGATTTTATTTATCTGAGAGAGAGAGAGAGACTGTGTGCGCACACATGCGCATACAAGTTGGGGAGGGGGAGAGGGAGAGGGAGAAGCAGACTCCCTGCTGAACAGGGAGACTGATGTGGGGCTCAATCCTGGGACCCTTAACCGACTGAGCCATGCAGGCGCTCCTTTTTAGTGCCTTTAAAGAACAATCTTTTGGCTTGGTTGATTCTTTTTACTTTGTTTTATATTTTATTACTTTATTACTTCTTTTTTTCCATGTTTTTTTGGTTTATTTTACTCTTCTTTTTTGTTCACTTTTTGGGATGTGTACTTAAATCATTGAATTTTTACTCTTTATAATTTCTGCATTAAAGCTATAATTTACTTTGGCTTTCATTAAAGCATCTCACCAGTTTGGGTATGTCATGTTTTCTTGATCATTCAGTATAAAATATTTTAAAATTTTTATTGTGCTGTCTTCTTTGAAACACTAGTTATTTGGTAGGGTACTTATTAATTTCCTAATAAATAGAGATTTCCTAAAAATTTCTTTTTTATTAATTTTTAGCTTAATTCTACCTAATTCTATTTAATTCAGAGTATACGCTCTATGATTTCAGTGCTTTGTTGTTTGTTGAGACTTAATTTATGGCTTGGCATAAGATTGATTTTGGTAAATGTTTTGTCTATGACAGAAATACATACATTCATTACCCTTGTGTTAATACAGACTTTTATTTACTCTAGTTTATTGATATATAAATATAAAAATTAATTGTTACTTTTAAATTCATATTACCTATTGGTTCTTGAGAGAAGTATGTTTCCCATTATGGCTATGCATTTGTTTTTCTTTTTTTTTTAAAGATTTTATTTATTTATTTGACAGAGAGAGACACAGCGAGAGAGGGAACACAAGCAGGGGGAGTGGGAGAGGGAGAAGCAGGCCTCCCGCGGAGCAGGGAGCCCAATGTGGGGCTCGATCCCAGGACCCTGGGATCATGACCTGAGCCTAAGGCAGACGCTTAACGACTGAGCCGCCCAGGCGCCCCGCATTTGTTTTTCTCTTAATTTTATGTATATTGAGGCTATGTTAGGTGCATACAGATTTAGAATTGTTTTATCTTCTTAGTTAGATTGAGCCTTTTATCATTATGAAATACCCCTGTTTATCTTTAGGAATTTTTGATTTTGTCTGTTATTAGTGTAGCTATTACAAGCTTTCATTTGGTAAGTATTTTCACGGTAGATCTTTTCCCATTATTTTACTTTTAACCTTTTTTTTTTAAAGATTTTTAAAAGATTTTATTTATTTGACAGAGACACAGCGAGAGAGGGAACACAAGCAGGGGGAGTAGGAGAGGGAGCCCAACGCGGGGCTCGATCCCAGGTCCCTGGGATCATAACCTGAGCCGAAGGCAGATGCTTAACGACTGAGCCACCCAGGCCCCCCTACTTTTAACCTTTTTATGTACTTGTATTTATGTTGTCTCTTTTAGAAATAGTATACAGTTGGGTTTTGCTTTTTTAAATCAGTCTAAAAAAATCTTTGTATTTAATGGAGTATTCATTTGCATTCAATGTAATTTCTAATTTATTAGGGTTTAAATCTGTCATCTTAACTATTTCTTTTTGACACCTATTCCATGTTCTTTTTTCTCTCTTCTCTTGTTTTCTTTCTTATTAAAATAGTTTATTTTTTATTATTTCAATATTATCTGTATCAATGGGTTTGTTACTAATGGATTATTTTATATTCTTTTAATGGTTACCTTAGAGATTACAACATGTATCCTTAATTTATTAAAATCTAATATAAGTAAGTGCTGTTACTGCTTACTGGATGATGTAAAGATCTTAGAATACTTTAATTCCACTTGTCCCTTTTTGTCCAAGTGTTATTGCACTATATTTTGATTTTATATTTATTTAAACCTCCAAATCATTTTATTACTATTTGAAATAGTGACCATTTATTTGGATTACAGATTGAAATGTTTGGAAGTTTGCCCTTATTTCAAGGGATTGTTCTGTTTCTGGTTTAGAGGGAGAGAGAATCTAAAGCCGATCCACATGTTTATTATTTCCATTGCTATTTATTCTTTCCTTCATTTTCAGCTTCCATCTGGGATGATTTTCCTTACTTCAGAAGAATACCCTAGTCTTTCCTTTGTTTTAAAAAAATATATTTTTTAATATTTTATTTTTTTGAGAGAGAGAGAGAGTGAGAGTGAGAGAGAGAACAGGAGCAGGGCAGAGGGAGAGGGAGTGGGAGAAGCAGATTCCCCTGCAGAGCAGGGAGCCCTATGCGGGGCTGGATGCCAGGACCTTGGGATCATGACCTGAGCCGAAGGCAGACGCTTAACCAACTGAGCCACCCAGGTGCCTCACACTAGTCTTTCCTTTTGTGGAGTATATTGTTGATAAATTCTCTCAGTTTTTGTTTGTGTGATAATGTATAATGTACATTTTGTGTAATGCTGTTTACAGAATTCTAAGTTGGCAATTATTTTCTTTCTTTTCTTTTTAAGATTTAATTTATTTGTCAGAGAGAGAGAGAGAGAGAGAGGGCACAAACAGGGAACAGGCTCCCTGCTGAGCAAGGAGCCTGATGCCGAACTTGATCCCAGGACCTTGGGATCATGACCTGAGCTGAAGGCAGCTGCTTAACCGACTGAGCCACCCAGGCATCCCATATTAACCTTATTTTAATATCTTATTGATAGTTCTTTTTTTTTTTTTTAAGATTTATTTATTTATTTGAGGGGGAGAGAGAGTGAGCACAGTGGGGAGGGGCAGAGGGAAAGGGAGAGAGAATCTAAAGCCGATTTCATGCTGAGTGCAGAACCTGATGTGGAACTCAGTCTCACGACTCTGAGATCATGACCTGAGCCAAATCTAAGAGTGGGGGGCTTAACCAACTGTGCCACCCAGGTGCCCCCTGACTGAAAATCTATTATTTGTGTCCTTCAAGAGTCTGTTTCTCTTGCTCATTTTTTTTTTCTTGGTTCTTAGTCAAATCTTGTGTTCACCAATGCCGGGTTATATAAGAGAAAAATTTGAAGCTGTGAGTGATTTTATCTTTCTCCAGTGAGGATTTACTGTTGCTTCTCATAGGCAGCTAGGCTGAGACATCAGAAATCGTAGATTACTTTAATTACAGATTGAAATGTTTGGAAGTTTGCCCTTATTTCAAGGGATTGTTCTGTTTCTGGTTTAGACTTTCTTATAAGGTAGCTAGTGTGGGTTGGTATTAGTTTCTGCTCAGTTTTTGGCCTATCATCCTCTGCTTTTGGACAGGGAGAAGGAAATGTCAAATGCTGGTCTTGCTTCTCTGAGGATTCCCTCTTCTATCACAAATTGGATAACTCTGAAGCCTTCAAACATACCCTATTTTTCTGTGTGCTTTTGTCCATCTCTTCTTGTTCTGGTGAGGTTTGTCCAAATAGCCTAGTCTTCCATTTAATCACTATTTTTAAAGCATTGAAATAAGTTTATTTTGCCAAATCTTACAGCATTTTATGTTTCATATTCTTTGTTTTGCACGTTTAAAGATGTTATATTGCCTGCTTGCTTTATTTGTAATATGATTTGAATTACAAGTGAAAATTTCTGATGGCCAGTTTGTATTAATTTCTCTTTAATGAATAGGCTGACTTAGGACAGTTCTCTTAGTCTTAAGGGTGAAGTTCTGCCATTTGTTACTCAAGATGGGGGGTTGTGGTATGTTAGCTGCCCTGGCTTTATTATAGTGCTCATATTTGAAGAACTTAAAGCTAAGTAAATTGAGGTAAATTAAGCATACATGTGGAAGTGGATTTTGTGTCTTAGACACCTCTCCAGATAAATTTAGAATAAAATTTGTAGAGTTTTTCCTTACAGTGTTGCTTTCTTTCAGTGTGAAGGCTTAGAATCATCTTTAAAGGATGCCAGTTTTGAGAAGGAATCAACAGAAGCACAAAGTTTGGAGGTAAAAACAAATAATATAATTATAAAAGCTGGGGGTAAGATTCTTACTAAATAACACAAACTTGAAGAAAAATGTATCTCCTGAAAACTATTTTAAAGGAAATGTGAAAGAACATTGCTAGATGTTAAAACTTAAAGAAAAAGTTAATTATAGGAAATGGAACATTAGGTAGCATAAAGTATCTTAAAAATTTGAGCTCTCCTTGCTAACATAGTCAGTTTACTGGAACCGAGGGCCATATAGGAGCTCTTTATTTTTCATTCTTAGGAATGAAATGTATTAAGTAACCATTCCTTTTTTTAATTCCGTTTGCTCTAGAAAGGAAGAATAGGATTCATTTTCATAAATTTAGGAATAGTTGGCAGGAATAAATTATGTAAATTGTGGCAGTACGTGCCTTCACTTCATCCCCATTGTTATTGGGAGCGGACTAGAATTAGACCAAAGATTTATATTGTAAGCAGCAGTGTGCTGGTAAAGGTTTAACAGCTGGCTCTCTGAAAAGCAGGAGTCCTTATTTGTAGCATTTGCTTGGTTCTGTTGGGTAAATACTCTCAATTTCAAGGTACCAACATGATGTCACTGAATGCAGGGTTTGGAAGAGATATGTCTAGTCAGCTCTCCTGAGCCAGGTATGATTTTGGCTAGTAGTAAGAAGGGAAATAATAAAAATTTGTCATTTAGCTAATCTACAACAGATTAGGGTAAATGCTGTTTGTTACTATTTAGAGATGGAAGTGTTGTCAGAAGCATACTAGTACTAAAGTAGAAAACAATGGACTTTGTACTTTTTTTGGTGTATGTGGTCAGACAGTCCAGCTCGGCTGTTATCAATCACTGATGTCTGTAACCATCAGAAAGTCTATGTGTATAACACTGGATGGTAACTAACTGGAATTAAAATAGAAATTTAAAAAAATCTATATTTTATGTTTCAGAATTTCCTGGTAGAGTCCAAAGGAAGTTATAAATTGAATTCCAAATGGAGCAAATTTCTTAATCTTTTCTTTCTTCATTTGTTACCTATTAATATCCTCAAGAATTTGTTGAAATTGTTTTATTTACTGACCTTCTGTTTTATCTCCTGTTCCAGTAGTAACTTATTAGTTTGATTAAAAAAGAAAGAATTGTAGAAGGCATTTAGCTTGCTAATAGAAGAGCCTAACCTGGACAGAAAAGGCATTTATTCAAGTTTGGCAATATTGTGGATAAAATAAAACACACCAATTTATTCTTAAGGAATTGAATTTACATGATCTAACAGTAGAATTTAAATGAATGTTTTGGAAGTTTTTCCTCTGATTTTTGTAATTTTAAAAAACATGTAGTGTTTATTTTTAAGCTTGGTAAACATAATATAAACTATATATGATGGAATTAAACAAATTTGATGGTTGAATCAGTAGATAAAATCAAAACAGTACAGTAATTTTGATTCAAGTCAGGGAATTCATATAATCAAATAACCAAAGTTGGGAAAATACATATAAACAAGTTTTTAGCCACTATAATATAGTATGTACTTGTTCTTTTTTTATTTTGGTCTCCATTAAATTCTTTGAATCTTTTGGTTTTTTTTTTAACAAGTTTGTTGAAGGATCACAAATATCAGAGGTATGTTTATTACAGTATTTAAAATCCAATTGGAATAATTCAGTAACTAATCATTTAAAATTAAAAAGGTCCCAGAAAATAATTCAATGCAGAACATTATTCTGAAGCAATCTTCATTATTTTTTGAGTTTAATTTTTATTATGTCTTTAATTTTATTAAATCAGACTTATTTCTCATTTTTTCCTTTATAATGCTCTAAAGCAGAGGTTGGCAAACTATAATCTGGGCTCTCCACCTATTTTTTTTTTTTAATTTTTTTATTTGAGTATGGTTGATACAAATGTTAGATTAGTTTCAGGTGTACAACGTAGTGATTCAACATGTCTATACTTTATGCTGTGCTCACCACAAGTATAGCTACAGTCTGTCTCATCATACAATGCTATTACAGTCTCATTGACTGTATTTCCTATGCTGGACCTCTTATTTCCATGACTTATTCCATAATTGGAAGCCTGATCTCCCACTCACCTTCACTCATTTTGCCCAATCCCCCACTATCTTTCCTGTGGCATCCATCAGTTTATTCCCTGAATTTATAGGTCTGATTCTGCTTTTTGTTTGTTTATTTGTTTTGTTTTTTTAGATTCCACATATGAGTGAAATCATTTGGTATTTGTCTTTCTCAGTCTGACTTATTTCACTTAGCATAATACCTTTTAGGTCCATCCACATTGTCACAAATGGCAAGATCTCATCATTTTTTTATGGCTACGTAATATTCCATTGTGTGTATATACCACATCTTCTTTATCCATTCATCCATCGATGGACAGTTATGTTGCTGCCCTATTTTAGTTATTGTAAATAATGCTGCAGTAAACATAGGGGTATGTATGTCTTTTTGACTTACTATTTTTTTAATAAAAAGTAGTGGAATCATTGGATCATACAGTATTTCTGTTTTCCACAGTGGCTATACCAATTTACATTCCCAGCAACAGTGCACGAGGGTTCCTTTTTCTCCACATCCTTGCCAACACTTGTTATTTCTTGTCTTTTTTATTTTAGCCATTTTGATAGGTGTGAGATGACACTTCATTGTGGTTTTGATTTGCATTTCCCTGATGATGAGTGATGTTGAGGATCTTTACATGTGTCTGTTGGCCATCTGTATGTCTTTGGAGAAATGTCTATTTAGGTCCTCTGCCCATTTTTAATCAGATTGTTTGGCTTCTCCACCTGTTTTTGTAAATAAAATTTTATTGGAACACAGCCATGCTCATTCATTTACATGTCTTTGCATTCTTACTACATAGACGTAGTTGGGACAGCGACTACATGGCCTGCAAGCCTAAAATATTTACTCTGTGGCTTTTTATAGAAAAAGTTTGCTGACCCCTGCTAGAATTGCTATTATTTAAATGGTATAAAAATGAACAAATATGTAAACTAAATTTATTTGATTTATAATATATGTGTTTGATTATACTTGTCTGATTTATCATAACCAAAAAGTTCTATGCCTGTCTTATAAAGTTGGCTTCCTCTTTTAGGCAGTCTGTGAAAATCTGAACAAGTCTAAATCTGAACTTGAGGATGAAATACTTTTTCTGGAAAACCAATTAAAAGAAGAGAAATCTAAACATTCTGAACAAGATGAATTGGTAAGGTTTTTACATAAATGAGGAGACTGTAGGAAAAGAAAGTTACTGAATTTTAAAATATTAGTAGGTATCGGGGTGCCTGATGGCTCATTCGGTTAAGTGTCTGACTCTTGATCTCAGATCTCAGCTCAGATCTTGATCTCCGTCATGTGTTCAAGCCCTGTGTTGGGCTTTGTGCTGGGCATGGAGCCCACTTAAAAAAAAATATATATATAGTGGTATCAGTTAAAGTATTATATGCATTCTAAAAAGAATCCCCAAAATACAGAAGGCTGTTAAGTACAGAGTAAAATTTTCGAGATCCACTAGCTTTTTTTTACATGTTAGAGGTTACCATTACCATGTTAAGTTTCTTGCACATCCTTATATTTTCTATATGTACTATAAAGTGGCTCACATAAATAAAGTTGAATAATCACATACGTGGTGGATTTTTTTTAATTACTCAAAAGGTATTTTGAGAACATTTTAACTTTGCTTTGGCATTTATTTTAAAATCTATTGTAAGGAAGATCTAGATGTGTGTGATTATTTAGTAAGATATGATGTCAGTGGACTTATCTTGAACCTATATAACTTAAATGTTATGAAATATTAAAGATGAGATGAAATATTATTGCCTCACATTCATATAAAATCTCTTTTATGGCTGACAAGTTTTCTTAGAATCCTCTTTTTTTTTTGAGTAGATGTATTAGGTTAACAATATATCTAAGCTATGTGGTGTCTTGGAAGCTGGAGAAATTTAGTAAATAAATACTCGTTTATTGATTGATGCTGTCTTTCCAGATGGTGGATATTTCAAAAAGGATACAGTCCCTAGAAGATGAATCAAAATCTCTTAAATCACAAGTGGCTGAAGTAAGTTGAATTAGCCTAGAAGGTCTGTTGCGTTTGAAAATCATTTTAATTTTACTGTTTTATGTTTAAAGAAGAAGATATAATACTAGAATTTGAGATACTGGGGTCTTAGATATAGTTCCTTTGTAGAAGGTACTTCAGAAAGGTTCATTTTTTTTGTTGGACAGGTATTTATTGAGTTCTTCCTATGTACTGGTCATTGTTGAAAGTGCTTGGCACTTAACATTAGTAGACAAAATAGGAAAGCTCTCATCTAGTTTAAATTCTAGTAAGAGAGGCAGGTAATAAAAAGTTAACAAAATTTGCTACATAGTACATAAAAGATCACAAGTGGTTAAATCCTTTATCCAAGGCCACATGGCAAGTTCATGGCAGAGCCATGATTGGACCCTAATTCTAGACTAGCCTTTTTTCTGCTATCCCTATGCTGCCTTTTCTATTAATATTGCATGTTTTTGACTTTAATTCCATGTTTTAGGGAGTATGTATAAAAAAGAGCTATTGTATTAAATTAATTCTTACAAGCTTGATATGTTGTGTTTTCCTTAGGCCAAAACAACCTTTAAAATATTTCAAATGAATGAAGAACGACTTAAGATAGCTATAAAAGATGCTTTGAGTGAAAATTCCCAACTTCAGGAAAGCCAGAAACAGGTTTGTACTCTATAGGGACTTTTAAACTGTGAATATGTAATTATAAATGTTCTGGGCATACTCAAGACTGACCCATGCTAGGGGCAAGGTTAGGCTTTTCCTGGAAAACAGGAGAGCAGGACAATCTCCCATATATCCTTTGATGTCTCTTTTGTATAGGGTGCAAAGTGTATACTCCTGGCACTTTGTTTCTTCAGTAGTTAGAGTAATCCAGGGCAAATTTTAGTAATCATAGCAAATAGCATTTAGTACCAACTCGTCAAAGCCAGACTGAAGGAGGGCAGAGAATACACATGAGAATTATCTTGAAGCTATGGGTCTGAGGCCTCAAGATAGAAACAGTTCTGATGGTAGATCAAATGAGGATTTAGCTTTTACCCTCTTCCTTCTTCATATATATTAGGCACTCTCAGACACCCAAATATGTTTTCTGTCCCACTATTCTCCCAGTATAGTTAAAATTTTTCCTTGGGAAAATTTTTCATTGATTACATTATTTACAGTTCTTTAAATGTTACAGCTGAGCCACACGATGTGCTCTGACTACATGTTCTGTTTTACCCAACATTTTCTTTGCTCTAGGGTTAGTAATTGTTTTGTTTCTTATATACCTGTCTATATGTCTGTCTTCTGGAGATGCCGAATATCTTATTTATGCATTCAAATGCTGTTTTCTGGAGATTTAAATATTTATGCATTCAAATGCTTTGATAATCGACTGATTTTTTTCTTTTTTTTGAAGCAATACTTTCTGGGGTCTTCCATCCTCCTGATTTGATAGGAAGTTATTCTCTGGGTCTGTTAATGCTTCTGTTGTCCTGAGATTTCACTTCACTCCCATCTTTCCCCTTGTCTTTCTCCTATGTTGGATCTTCTATTTCCTGTATCCAAGACTTGCTCTTTTGTGGTTAATTCTCTTGATTAGCTTCTTGAGAAAAAGGTATACAAGCTAACTTTTAAAAAAATTTGCATCTTCTTGAGAATGTCTTCTCTCAAAGTTACTGACATTTTGGTTGGATATCTTCTGGGCTTAAATTTTTTTTTTTTCTTGAAATTTTGACATTATTGATCCGTGGTGTTCGTTTTCCAGTATTGCTTTTGAGAAGTCAAATGCTACTTGGATTATTGGATCTGTTTTTGTGATCTGCTCTTTTCCTCCCTGGAACCTTTTAATATCTTTCATTGTTTCTAGTTCTCCAAAATGTCATGATGATGCAGGGTCTTTTTTCATACATTTGTTGGAATGTCTGGAACTCTTAGTCTGGAAACTCTTGCTCTTGATTCAGTTCTGGGATATTGCTACATGCTTTTTTGGGGATTTTTATATGATTATACAGTAATTATTTGAAGATGTCCTCTTTGATTTCCTTGTTTATATGGAAGTTTTGTTGACTTATTATTCTATATTTTTCAATTTTAAGTATTTTTGTTTTGTTTTGCTTTGCTTATGCCTCTTCTTTATGTATGGATGCCATGTTCTTATCTTGCTGAGGATATTTTTTCTTTTTTCTTTTTGAAGTGTTTGTTTCAGTTCCCTGAGTTGTCTTGTTTCCTCTATTTTCTGTTTTGGTCTATGTCTTTTATTTAAGAGCTTCTTTTTAAAGCAGATATTAGGTGATTCACTGCAATCTGCTTATTTATTTTTTTAAAAGATTTTATTTATTTGAGAGAGAGAGATAGCAAGTGAGAGCACGAGCAGGGAGGAAAGGGAAAAGCAGGTCCCCGCTGAGCAGGGAGCCCGACGCTGACTCAGTCCCAGGACCCTGGGATCATGACCCGAGCAGACGCTCAACCAACTGAGCAACCCAGGTGCCCACAGTCTGTTCATTTAATAGTGAAACTCTCCATGTCTAATTGGAAGCTCTGTGTGTGTTATTGGGAGGTTCTTCTGTAGGGTAATCTGCCTAGGATGTTTCATTGGATGATCCCCAATTGTTGTTATCTGAAGATCATTTTCTACAGGGGTGATACCTCCTCAGTTTCTATTTGAGAGGTAGAAGCCCATTTGCCAACAGTGAGATAAACAGAGAGGTAAGGCTTGTTGGTTTGTCACTATTCAGTAAGTCATCTTTCACTTAATACCTTTATGTTTTCAATATTTTACTCACACTTTCACCTGGGCCAGGTATCCCAGAGTTTCATTTTCCACTTCTCCAGAGAATAACTTTCTGGGCTTTTGCCAGATGTGTATATGTGTGTAAATATGTGTGTGTGCATGTGTGCATGCATGTGAAAGATGAGGGTGGGTGGGAGGGATGGATGGAGAGTAAGAATGTATGTATATGTATGTGCAGGGAGAACACGAGGGACTTTCTAACTTTTTTTATACGTACTTTCAGGCAGTCCTCCTCTTTTCAATCCCACTTACACCCCTAGTGTTAGTGCCTCCAAATTATGAGCATTTTGGGTTGTATGAAATCAACCTGCATTTGGACTTTCCCATCTTCTGAGTAAATTTCAGCTTTGATGGTCTGCTAAATCTTTTACTATGCTTCTTTCTCTTTCTACTTTTCTTCCCCCACAGAGAGAGTGAGTTGGCGGGAGGGAGAGTGAGAAGGGAGAGGGAGAGAATCTTAAGCAGGACGCCCAGTGCAGAGCCTGACATGGGACTCAGTCTCAAGTCCCTGAGATCAGGACCTGAGCCGAAATCAAGAGTCAGATGCTCAACTGACTGAGCCACCCAGGTGCCCTTCTACTTTCCACATCTAGAATTACCTTTTTCCTTATCGCCTATTTTCTTTTTTCTTGTGGGTTTATGCTGCTGCTTTTTTTCCTTTTCTGAAGTCTCTTAGTAGATTTACTCTCATCTTAATAGATTGCAGGAGGAAGTGGTGGTAAACCTTGTGTTAAATTGCTCTGTTGAAATAAAAACTGGCCTTTTCTATCTTGAAAAAATTTCACCTAGATTGTCCTTTTTTTTTTTTTTTTTAAGATTATTTATTTGAGAGAGAGGGGTGGGGAGTGGCAGAGGGAGAGGGAGAGAGAAACTTAAGCAGACTCCATGCTGAGCATGGAACCTGACACGGGCCTTGGTGTGCACCTCTAACTCCTTTTTAATAACTAAAGTTCTTGAAATCAACTACTATATATTCACTGATGCCATGTTCTAATTCACTCCTTCCCTGATTTCTTAAGACTGCTGGGTATGTAATTTCTTCTTCTTCCTTTTTTTTTTTTTAGATTTTTATTTATTTATTTGAGAGAGAGAGTGAGAGAAGGCGAGCACGAGCGGGGGTAGGGGGGCAGATGGAGAGGGAGAAGCAGACTCCCTGCTGAGCAGGCAGCCTTATGTGGGGTTCCATCCCAGGACTCTGGGATTATGATCCTAGCTGAAGGCAGATGCCTAACCTACTGAGCCACCCAGGTGCCCCTGGGTATCCAGTTTCTTTAGTAACTCTCTAGAGTCCATCTAATCACAAAATTCAGATTTTTGTCTTCAATCCTCGTTTGTTTTTAATCTGTTGTGTCCTCTTAATTCTGTTATACACGTGTAGAAAAAGTTTAGTTTTCTTGTGCTAGGAAATATGCTTATGAAGCCTTAGTTTTGCAGAGAAATCCAATAATTACTGTTCGATAGAATTGAGTTTTAAAGATTTAATAAATTTAGACTTTTCTTTCATATTTATATGGCCCATTTCTTTTGTGAATTGGTTGCTCATTCATCTTTTTCCTGTTTTTCTTACTGACTTCTAAGAGATTTTTGCATGTTAAGGTTATTAATCTTCTGTCGCATATGTGTAAGAATTCCTTTCTAGTTACTTGTTTGTTTTTAGATTTTGTGTTATTTTTTGATTTGTGAAGCTTTTAAGTGTTATGTAATCAAGTCTGTTTTATAACAATCCTTACCTTTTGCATCATGTTCAAAAAGTATTTCCTATAAAAGTATATACAGTAAAAGACTGTTTATGCAGAATTTGATCTATTCCAGTTTAGTGGTATCTCTGGAAGTTTAATTAACTACAAAACAGCACATGATTTAAAAAAAATATAGGACTTAAGGGATGGTAAGAAATGACCAAATCTAACATATATATGTCTCAAAAAGCTTTTTTTTGCTCTAAGTTTATTATGTAAATCAGTTGAACAGTGTTTAAGTTTTAAGTGTCTCTTATTTTACATTATCCTTCTTGAAAATTCTTTGAAAACAGGAGCCTGCCCTTCATTCCCTTCTTTCCTTCCTTCATCCCTCTCCCCTTTACTTCTTAGCAACATATTGTGTTGTATAATATCTATTAATGATACATCTAAATATATAAATAAATTCCTTTACACATAAGTATGAAAAATAATGAGTTGCTTTTTTGTTTTGGTGGGGTTTGAATTTTAGCTTTTACAAGATGCTGAAGAATGGAAAGAACAAGTGAGTCAACTTAATAAACAGAAAATAACATTTGAAGACTCCAAAGTATATGCAGAACAAGTTCTGTGTGATAAAGAAAATCAGATCAAGGTAAGTGGCCCCCCTGGTTTTAGTGACTGAGTCAGCTGGAATTTTGTACTAATTCTGAAATTTGAAAATTTTTGTCTTAGTAACTTTTATTTTTATAATTATTTGGTCAAATTTGAGCATGTGTACTTCTTTGGCATTCATTTTAATTTGTACCAGTATTGTCATTCTTGCTCCCAAATGCTCCTTGAAGACTCACAGATTTGTAACGTATATATTATATACTAGTGTATACTAATTATATATTATATAATATATAATAAATTAATGTATATTATTGATATTATATATTATTTATATATATGATCTATATAAATCATTATTCTGTGTGTCCTTTTTCTCCTTTGCTCTGTATTTTACCCTAGGTATTTAATGAAGAAAGAAAAAGAATAGTGGATTTTACCTTTGTCTTTAGACTGCCATCTGTTTCTATTGATAAGATGTTGGAAAGAATTTTAGAAATTGGACAGATGAAGTTATATGTATTGGCTAGATGTCTGTAATACCTAGATTAGCTGGTGTATGTACTTTCATGGAGATGAATACTTTTCAAAAATAAGTCTAATTGAAACTTGACTCTAATAGGAATATAATAATTGATATTATTGTAGGATTTGTTCATTTTTTCCTACTCCTTATTTGCCTCATTCTACCCTTTTTCTTTCCTGTTCTTTTAAATCTTATGCTTTCAAGCTGCAAACAGATACTCAGGTGTGAGTATCAAGTAATAAAATGTAAAACTAATATTCTGTAATCTACGCAGTGAAGTGGAGGTTGCCATCTTGAAACCTATATATTTATGCTCTTTATGTTGTTACTAAGAATGTTTTTTTTTAAATTTTATTTTATTATGTTATTATGTATCCCCCCACCCCCCACTAAGAATGTTTTTAAGATTCCAACTTTAGGAGTTGTATTCATAATTTAGGATATTGCTTTATTTTTTTCCCTAATCTTACCCTACTAAAGAATTTGGGATTCTTCCTAAACAGAACAAGAATGAGAAGCTCAGTCAAAGCTGTAAGCCATGTTATTTATGCCTGGAATTCTCAAGAGGGAAGAGATTGAAGGGTAGAAATTATAGAGCAGAATGGGTTTTTAGGTGGGTCCTTCCACAGAAATGCATGGCACAGTCATTTTATTACCTATAGTGCTAGAAAATCTTTCTTTATTCGAGAAAATTCAAAAAGTACTGTTGGAAAACCTGTAATGTACCAATTCAGATTCTGTTCTATAATTTTTTTTCTTTATCTCAATTGAACTCCTCACCTAATCATTTATTTTAGAAAAAAATCAGATCTGTAAAGTCTGTGATCTTTTTATATATCATGTGTCTCACTTGCGGATTTGTTTGACCTCACACAAAATTTACTCTCATGTTAATGGCCACTCTTATTTGTGGCATGTGAAGAATGTCCTATAAGAGAATGTTTTGTTACTTTATAGTCATGTGATGTATTTAGCAAAAATGGGCCATTATCAAGTATTGTATTTGATTTAGGAATAAACAGGTTTGTTTTTTAACTTGTAGAGTTTAATAGTCAATAAATGTTACAGCTTTTCAGAGTATTTACATATCTTAATATCAGCTGGTGAATAAGAGCTCATATACTGTTATCTAGGTAGATTGATTTTTAAACTGTGACTGCACATTCAGAAGTTGTAAATCAATTAGCAAAAGGCATTACCCTCTTTCTCTTTTTTCCCTTTTTTGCTAAATGTCAAGTCTCTTACTGAACGCTTGATAAAGATGAAAGATTGGGCTGCTGTGCTGGGAGAAGACATAACAAACGATGATAACTTGGAGTTGGAAATGAGTGAGTCAGAAAATGGTACGCAGTTGGGTATTATTAAGTCATGATTCATCCTCTTTTGCTAAAAATGATGAGCCTGTTGTATTTTCTTTTAGTTCCCTATGTGCACCATGGTCCTTTTTTTTTTTTTTTTTGGCTTTCAAGTTTTTTTTTTTTTAATTTAAATTCAGTTAATTAACATATAATGTATTATTAGTTTCAGAGGTAGAGATCAGTGATTCATCAGTCTTATATAATACCTAGTGCTCATCACATCACGTGCCCTCCTTAATGTCCATCACCCAGTTACACCATTCCCCACCTCCCTCCCCTCCAGCACCTCTCAGTTTGTTTCCTATGATTAAGAGTCTCTTTGTTTCCCTCTCTGGTTTTGTCTTATTTTATTTTATACTCTCTTCCCCTATGATCCTCTGTTTTGTTTCTTAAATTCCACATATCAGTGAGATCATATGATAATTGTTTTTCTCTGATTGACTTATTTTGCTTAGCATAATACCCTCTAGTTTCATCCATGTTGTTGCAAATGGCAGGATTTCATTTTTTTTATGTCTGAGTAGTATTCCATTGTGTATATATACAATATATACACACACCACATCTTCTTTATTCATCTTTGATGGACATCTCTGGGCTCTTTCCATAGTTTGGCTATTGTGGACATTGCTGCTGTAAACATTGGGGTGTCGGTACCCCTTCAGATCACATTTGTATCTTTGGGGTAAATACCCAGTAGTGCAATTGCTGGGTCATAGGGTAGCTCTGTTTTCAACTTTTTGAGGAACCTCCATACTCTTTTCCAGAGTGGCTGCACCAGCTTGCATTCCCACCAACAGTGTAGGAGGGTTCCCCTTTCTCCTCATCCTTGGTTTCCTGACTTGTTAAATTTAGCCATTCTGACTGGTGTGAGGTGGTATCTCATTGTGGTTTTGATTTGTATTTCCCTGATGCTAAGTGATGTTGAGCATGTTTTCATGTGTCTGTTGGTCATTTGTGTGTTTTCTTTGGAGAAATACCTGTTTATATCTTCTGCCCATTTCTTGATTGGATTATTTGTTTTTTGTGTGCACCATGTTCTTTTTTCTTTTTTTTTTTAAGATTTTATTTATTTGACAGGGAGAGCGAGAGAGCACAAGCAGGGGGAACAGGAGAGGGAGAGGGAGAAGCAGGCTCCCCGCTGAGCAGGGAGCCCGATGTGGGGCTCAATCCCAGGACCCTGGGATCATGACCTGAGCCGAAGGCAGATGCTTAACCATCTGAGCCACCGAGGCACCCCTGTGTGCACCATGTTCTTTATGTAGTTCTTCTTTGGCACATCTTCTTCATCTGTCTCTAATACTCTGTCCCTCTCTCACCATCCCTTACTTTTAAGCTTCAGTTGGAATACTGCCTTTTCAGTAAATCTTTCTCCCAACTCCTCAGACAGATTTACAGCTTCTTTCCTCCCTGTTCTTTTTATATATTGTCCATCTTTGTTACAGCAATTTTCACATTGCACCATAATAATTTCAATGCCTGTTTTTCCCTGTCCGCTAATCAGATGGATGGGTGGGTAGTTTAAAAAATGAGTGTTATATAGATGAATACCTTAGGATACTGTTTTTGTTTGTTTGTTTAAATTAGATGGCTCAGTACTTTAATCCTGTCCATCCCAAACTGTTATTACCACTGCTGGTTGCAGTCTGGAAACTCAGGCAGGAGTTAGGTTCAATATAGCCGCTCACTGTATTTTCAGACCAGTTCCTTTGACTTGAAAAAAGAATTTTTTGTTGACATAGTTATAGATTCATTGGAAGTTGCAAAAAGAGTACAGAAGTGTTTTGTGTATCTTTTATTAGTTTTCCACAGCTCTTCTGACTTTGTGTCTTGTCTCTTTTTTCTCCTTCTACCCCCTGCATAATTAGCAAATTTATTAAGGAGCAGAAGACACGATTTTTTTTGTATATTTCTTTGGTGATAGCATTAGTGCACTGAAGAAGACTGCATTCCTAAAGTGAACACATGTGTTCTGTTTGTACTTTTTCACTTCTGCTTTATCTTACAAGAAGCAATTCCTTTTGTAATGAGAAAATGTGTGCTTGTTTAATGTTATTTAAGTTTGGAGTATGATTCCACTTACATTTTGTATGCTGAAAGATTCCAAGAATAGTCGAGACTGTGGACTGTATTTAGGTGAATACCAGATTCTTATTATAAATTTGTTCTTGGAGTGAGTAGTGAAGAACCTCTTTAAATGAAATTATGGTACTTCCAGTACTTTATTGTTTAGCTTCTTGGGAGCATGTCCAAGGCTATCCTGCCTTATATCAAATTCTTTATTAAAGCAAGAAGAGGGATTATAAGGCCCTAGTTGCTTGAACTAAAAAAATCATTTGGATGTCTGTTGTGGCGTGGCACTGTTTTCCCAATTTATTGTTTTTTTTTCTTCTTTTTTTTACATAGATAATCAACCAGAAGGAGCTTTGAAGAAGCTGATTCATGCTGCTAAGGTTTGCATTACTACATAAATATAAAGAATATAGAGAAGGAAATAGAACTTGGATTAAACCTGTAGGTCCTTAGTAATTATTTTAAAAGTCCGTTTTATAGTTGCCACCATAGAAGTGATGCAGATTTTCAGAAGTGATCAGCATTTTCTTTATCAACTGCTTTTTTCTTTTTTATAATAACTTTAGAAATTCATATTGTTAATTTTTAGAATTTAATCAGAATACAAATTTTTAAGGTCTGGACTAATGTTTTTAGATAAGGAATATATTAAAAATATTTAGTGTATTTTCTCTCATATTTCTGACTTTGAACATTCTTCTTCCTCTGGTCTCAGTATTTTCCTATTCCTGTTGCCCTATATCCTAAATTGAGAAGTAAATGCTGGGTTCAATTTCTTCTACTTTATCCCTTCTCTTTTCCATTGTAGTAGTGGTTATCTTGATCTTTACTGAACTATGTGAAGTCTTGGTAATGTACTTTGAAGCTTGCTCTGATTAAAACTTCTGTGTTGAAAGTAAATAGAATGAAAATACCCACTTTTTAAGGATCAGTCATTGATCTTCTCTCTCTGTTCTGATATTTACAACTACTGATGACTTAACTTTTCAAGATGGAAGCTGCATTGTTGATTAATGCATTCTAGGTGATAATTTCATCAGAGTGATAAAAGAACTTCAAAAGGTTGGGATAGTATATTGAGATTTTTTGTTTTTCCTTTTTTGGTATAACTGATTAATGTTGCTTTTTTCCTTCTTCCATTCTCTGAAGTTAAATGCTTCTTTAAAAACCCTGGAAGGAGAAAGAAACCAAATTTACATTCAATTATCTGAAGTAGATAAGACAAAAGAAGAGCTTACAGGTAGGTTATATCTCCTTATCCAGAATGGTACTGTTAACTGAATCAATTATGCAAAAGCCCAGTTCGATTGTTTTTATAACTTTTACTTTTGTTTCTGATTTGTGAAAAATTAGTACTGAGTTTTTTGTTGGTGGTAAAGCCTGATTATCAGTTTCCTCCATATGAAATAAAAATAATGAAATTATTAAAAAAAACCATGTAAAACCATACTTATCTTTGAATTTCAGTGTTATATGTGTGATATGGTTTTAGATGTTAAAAAGTAGCAAATTAAAACTGTTAACTTTTAAAAGATCATCCCTATGATCCAGTTTTACCAGAGATGATATCCAGCATTAATGTCTGTTAAATGACTGTTCTTGGCATTGGTTTAAAGCCTAGGTCAACAGATTTCTTCTGATGTAGATTTAAAAATTTCTGTGGAAAGACAGGTATGCACATTAAAATCATTTAATGTTAGCATATTTACTTTAAACTTTCCTTTTGATATATATGATTAATTGATAGATGAATAATTATATGCCTTAAGAGTAATTAGAATGCCATTACATATGATTACTAAAATTTTAATGCTTGTTAGTATGATTTTGTGATTTTTGAAACTGCCCTCTACACAGAATAAGTTTTGCCTTTCTTTTTTTTTTTTTTTCTAAAGATTTTATTTATTTATTTGACAGAGACAGAGATAGCGAGAGCGGGAACACAAGCAGCGGGAGTGGGAGAGGGAGAAGTAGGCTTCCCCCCGAGGAGGGAGCCCGATGTGGGACTTGATCCCAGGACCCTGGGATCATCACCTGAGCCGAAGGCAGACGCTTAACGACTGAGCCACCCAGGCGCCCAATAAGTTTTGCCTTTCATTAAGATTTGTGGTGGGGGCGCCTGGCTGGCTTAGTCGGTAGCGGTAGACCATGCGACTCTTAATCTCAGGGTCATGAATGCAAGCCCCATATTGGGTGTGGAGCCTACTTAATAAAAAAGATTTGTGGTTATGATTTATATACATGTTTTGGGAGATGGCACCTCAGTCTTAGAGGAAGTCAAAGGTGGAGTTATGATGTTGGAAGATAAATGGTTTTTAATAACAATGCACTAATTATCTAGCACTCGTAATTACTTAGAATTGTTAATTTTTGTTTTATAAATAATTCTTTTAGGTGGGTTAGCATTTGAAACAAGTTAAAACTGATATTTTTCTCTCCAATCTTGATCTGGATTAAGCTAGGATGATTTTGTACCATTTCTTATCAGAAGATTGAAATTTCTGGCCTGACTTATATATCTCAATTTTGCTTAAAAGGAGGGATGGCTAGAAGTTAAGTATTAACCTATAAACTTTTTGCTAGATAAAAATAGGAATTGCTCATCATGTGGAAGTAGTTTCCCAGGGAATGGTTTTTTTTTGTAAAGATTTTTTTGTGTGTGTGACAGGGCGCTGCTAGCGGCACTAGCCTGAGCCGGGCAGGAGGGTAGAGGGAGAAGCAGGCTCCCTGCTGAGAAGGAGCTTAACCAACTTAACCGACTTAACCAACGGAGCCACTTAGGCGCCACAGGAAATGTTGAACTAAAATATTTCTTTCCCTTCAGACCTCTCATCTCCATAACCTTCATGAGAATTTTACTGGTTTTTGGCACCCTAACTGAAAATTAGATGCTGGAGGGACGCCTGGGTGGCTCAGTCGGTTAAGCGTCTGCCTTCGGCTCAGGTCATGATCCCAGGGTCCTGGGATCGAGTCCCGCATCGGGCTCCCTGCTCCTTGGGAGCCTGCTTCTCGCTCTGCCTCTGTCTCTCTCTGTCTCTCATGAATAAATAAATAAAATCTTTAAAAAAAAAAAATGAAAATTAGATGCTGGAATTAGAACATTGAAGGTTTTGGGAAATCTTGGAGTAATAAAAAAGTTGTAACAGTTTATCTAGTTCTTTAATTAAAATATTAAAAAGCATTTAGGTGAACAAAATACACATTTTCTGTTGGAAAGAATTTCATTTATTAATAATTTATTATTTTTGATAATTTTAATCTTTATGAAATATTAATGTGCATCTCAAAATGTTTACTCCTCTGTGGTTTTTAAAAATTTTCTATAGAGTGTATTAAAAATCTCCAGACTGAACAAGCATCTTTGCAGTCAGAAAATATACAATTTGAAAGTGAGAATCAAAAGCTTCAGCAGAAACTTAAAGTAATGACCGAATTGTATCAAGAAAATGAAATGACACTTCACAGGTAATAAAAATTACATTGATAACTTCACTGTATGGCAAGTAAAATAGTTAAAAATAGTGCATATTCAGCTTATGTGATATTCAAAGTACTCAATTTATGATTGGGTAATATTTCATCAGTTCATTTTTAAGGAAGTTATTTGATCTTGAAACACTTTTTCTTCTGAATCTGACCATTTTTCATGCCTCCCCCACTATGAGTCTCATCTAAACCATCATCAGTTAGTGCCTGGTTTATTGCAGTAGCCTTATGAGTAGTTTTTTCCCACTTAACTTCCTGCACAGTTGTCTCCAGTGGTATGACCCTTCTAAAACATAAATGACAGGTATTGTCACTGTCTTGTTTGCAAACTCCAAGTGCCTTCATGCAACACTTGGAATTTAATCCAAAGCTTTTATATGGCCTACAAGACTCTGTAAGATCTGACCTTTGGCTACCTCTTTTTTTTTTTTTTTTTTTTTTCCCTTTTTCCTGGTTATGCCTCTAATTTTAGCTTATTCAATTTCTTTTTCCTTCATTACCCTCCAGCACACTGGCCTTTCTCGATGATCTTTGGCATACTTAGGGCCTTTTGCACTTGCTCTTTCTGCCTTGAACTGGTATTCCCCTGTATAAGGTTAAATCCTTCATTTCATTTGGGTCTAGGTTCAAATGTTGCTTCAAAGAATCCTTCCCTGGTTACCCTAATTAAGATAATACCTGCAATTCCCTATCCCCTTGTCTTGTTTTATTTTTCTTTATAGCCCTTATAGTCCTCTGATGAATGTCTTTTTTTTTTAATCTTCCCAGCATTAAATGTAAACTCCATGAGAGAATTACTTTATTCTCTTTTCTTCTGTATTTCTGGTTCCTAATATTCTGTCTGGCACATGGTAGTTATTCAATAAACATTTGTTGAATATATGAATAAATATGTTAGTACCTTTATATATTAGAGTGAAAGTTTCTGTGCATGTGTGTACTGATGCCTAAATGCATAGAAACACAGAAGACTGTTAAGATACCTATCTGGAGACTCCAGATTTTCAAATACCACTATAGGACATATTTTTCATCATAAAAGGAAATAAAATATAACTTGATTTAATTAATGTAATTTCAAGCCCCTTTAATGAAAGTTATTACAGTCGATCTTCATCATTTGTAGTTTCTGTATTTGCAAATTTACCTACTTGAGAAAACTTACTTTTAACCCCAAACCAGTACTCATGGAGCTGTGGTGGTCATTCTTAGACATGCACAGAATGGCAAAAAATGTGAATTGCCCAGTGTGCACGTTCCCAGTCTGCTTTTGTATTTCAGCTCTTATTTTGTAAACAGGTGTCCTTTTTGCATTATATGTAGTTGCCATGTTTTTGTGCTTTTTGTCAAAAGATAACCTTTGTTCGGACATGAGTTATAATGCTGTTGGCCATGAGTTCATTATTAATAAACCAACAATAGATGTTAAATAAGGTGTGTTTAAACCAACACACATAAAACAGGGTTATGTATTGACTGGTAGATGAAAATGCTGTCACCAGAGCATACAGAAACCTAATTCTGCTTCCCTTAAGAGCACTGGTTCAGTATTTGCTAATTTAGGATTTGTGGTGACTTTAGAAAACATAACTAATGGGAATGAGATTCTTTTTTATGTATTTGGAAACTGGTAGAAAATACCAACGTTACATTGCCATCAGGATGCTGGGGGATTTGTTTAGCTCTGTCACTGCCAAGCTGTATACTTCAATCATTCTTTGGGGTCCATTCAAAAATTCAAAACTTGCTGTTCATCATGGACTTTTGGGCCACTTGGGACTGCTCAGGATATGAAAGAGAAATATACTTGACTAAACGGAAGAGCTACAGAGTGGACAGCTCATGGTTTTCATCAGTAAACATAGGAATGGACGACCCTTCATTTTAGGTTAGGATGAAAGATATTGTGAGTAAATTTGGTTAGTTGAGGTAAAAGGAATACTTTTGAGTGTATCTTTTGAACTTGATTGATTGGTTAATTATAGAATTTCGATGTGGAATGTTTAAAATTTCAAAAAGAAAAGGTGTTCTCTGTAGATATTCAGAGCATGGGTGGGAAGCTGAGTAGAATTTTGGCTCTGTGTATGTTGTTGACATTGTGATTTCATTCATTAATCTGAAATATTTTCAATTCCCAAAATACTGTATATTCCATTCTTACATTTAAATTAAAATATTCATTACTCAAATTCAGTGAATTGTGCCACTGGTTGTTCTTTAGAGTAGAATATAGAGAGTTGATAGTGTTAGTAAAATGTTAAATTAATATTTTTGCCTGCATACCAGTATGATTTAGATTCAGTCATTTTCTAGATGCTAGATTGATGTTTTCCATGAGGTATATTACATTACTAGCACTTTTCCAGATTTAATATTGGAGAGAAGTGAAATAGTGTAACATAGAAGCTTGATATGTTGCTTTATTATTGTTATTTTATTTTTAATTTTTATTTTTTTAGAGTGTGAGGGGCAGGGAGGGAGAGAGAATCTTTTTTTTCAGATTTTTATTTTACTTATTTTTAGAGAGAGAGAGCACATGAGCATGCAGGAGGGTGCAGAGGGAGAGGGAGGGAATCTTAAAGCAGGTTCCATGCCCAGCGTGGAGCCTGATGCAGGGCTCGATCTCACAACCCTGAGATCATGTCCTGAGCCATAAATGATGCTTAACTGACTGAGCCACCCAGATGCCCTGATAAGTTGCTTTAAATATGTGAAGTAAGATGTAATTGTTTTTTGGTCAAATCATCAGGCTTCTTTTATAGTGCAGTTTCCATCATTAATGAGCCTACCCAAATTCAAGGGGAAGGTTCATAGACTGCTTTTTAGCAGCAGAGGTGTCAAAGAATTTCTGGCCATTTTTAATCTAGATTCTGTAAAAATACACCTCCTTCTATCTCCAAGCCCATTATACTTTCATACTTCTTCTGAAGAGATGATTTTTATTTTCTTCTAACACCTATGAAACGATTGACCTAGCAAGTGCTTTCTTAGCAATTGGTAATGTAGTTTGTGGAATATAAAACATTTAGTCCTGGGCGCCTGGGTGGCTCAGTTGGTTAAGCGACTGCCTTCGGCTCAGGTCATGATCCTGGAGTCCCTGGATCGAGTCCCGCATTGGGCTCCCTGCTCAGCGGGGAGTCTGCTTCTCCCTCTGACCTTCCCCCCTGTCATGTGCTCTCTCTCATTCTCTCTTTCTCAAATAAATAAATAAAATCTTTAAAAAAAAAAAAACATTTAGTCCTGCCCTGTAGAATTTCTTCAGTAGTTTGTCATGTGCCTCCCCAAAGTTCATGAAGAAGGGGAGATGTTCACATTTAGGATTCCAAATGTCTTTTCCTGTGGTGGTCAATAAGTATTTCTTGAAGGACCAGTGTTACTGATGATACCATGTGAAACAATGAGTAATATAGTATAATGGAGTCACTACTTGCTAGCTCTATGCCTAGGTTCACTTCTTTAGTTTCTCTTTGCTTCCTTTCTCTCCTTGTAGAGCTATTATGATAATTAAATAGGATAATAATACATGTAAAAGTCTAAAAACAATTTCTTGCACATACTAATGGCTCACTAAGTTAGCTATTATTACTAAGAGAACTAGAAGTAGTAAGAAGGAGTGTTACTACTGCTTTTATTTACTTTGGGTTCTTTATAAGTTAGGTTTTGTTTTGTTTTGTTTTGGTGTATGTGAACTGTCTTGGAAACTTAATTACTATGTTAATGACTTAACAACCAATTTAAAAATGATTGAAATACAGTTCATTACTTGATGACTTCTTGTCTAGTAAATGTAATGAAGCTTTATATGAGAAGTCTTGATAAATAATATATAGTCATGATAGTTTTTACTAATATTTACCTTTGGTCTTATTTTTATGATAAAGTTTTATAGAAAACTCTTAAAACTTTTATATTAGTAGTACTATATTAGACAAGACGGTTTATAATTTCAGTTTATAATATTAAGTTCCACACGAGAAATATTTACGCAGGTACTTTTTTTCTTGCATGTGATGTTTTTAGTGGTGTTATGCAAATTGTTTTATGGGAAGCACCAGTTGCCATATAATTAAAAAGATATATTTGATTATCTTATGACATACTGTAAAAAAGCAACACTTTTTGTTTTAAGGAAATTAACAGTAGAGGAAAATTACCGATTAGAGAAAGAGGAGAAACTTTCCAAAGCAGATGAAAAGATCAGCCATGCAGCTGAAGAGCTGGAGACCTACAGGTACTGAACATATTTTACTCCTTTCTTTTTGAAGTGAGGAGGGTATCCAAAAACCTAATATCAGAAAAAATAATAAAGCAACCGAAAAAAATAAACCCAACATTTTTCTGATTATTTTTCATTTGGATATCTTGCTATTATGCAATTACACAGAAAATATAAGAAGGAAAAAATGTTTTCCTTTCAGTGTGTATGATTTTGAATCTCTCACATTAGTTGTATTTGAACATGGGAAATCCTATTTTATGTTAATGTGAAGAAATTTATGAATAGCTGTTAATTTCAAGGTCTTTACTCTTTGGTTCAAATGGGGAAGAATGCATACAATATTAAGGAATTTGAGAAGTATGCCTCAAAAAGAGTGAGCCACAGCTAAAGGTCTGAAGAAGTGTTTATATGTCTAGTTTTTTCCTTGGTTCACTTGTCATTAGTTCCATGGAAATAAAAGAAAACCTAGAGAAGATAAGGGGCAAGATTTAGCAGTGTCCCAAACAGTTCTGATATTTCATTTTGTATTAGGAAGAGTAAGCTTGGGTTTTGTCCAAAAGAAGAAATTATCTTACTAATAGTGTAAAGGTAGTAAGTAACATTTTATTTCACACAGTTGGTTAATTTCCTAGAATTCTGTTAGGATTACAGGCATCTGAATAAGTCTTCCAAGTTCATGCTTCTTAAAAATAAAGACAAACCAATATACCATATAAATCCTTGCATGACCCTTGGTTTAGGTAAACCCAAGTAATAGTACTCTTAAAGCATAATTAATGTTAAAATTATATCAAGAAAAATACACTGCTTTAGAACCTCTAAAGCTGATTAATGTGTAGAGTTCTGGAGTCATTTTTTATATTAAACAAAGCACTCTAGGTGTTTTAATTGATATTTTCAGTAGATACAGTGTATTCTCTCATTTCTTAGTATATGTTAATAGTAGAATGATTGTTCCTTATAGAAAGCGAGCCAAAGATCTTGAAGAAGAATTGGAGAGAACCATTCATTCTTATCAAGGGCAGGTATGTGTGTGTGTGTGTGTGTATAAATTAAAACAATTATGATTTGTTTGAATTGTTTATCTCTATTTTGATATAGGAGTATAGTTACTTGATAGTTGTACACTTTTCTTGAAGCTTTGCACATGTCTGTGGGACATTTATAGGGAGCCAAAGTTCTGGAATAAGAGACCTTTTTTAAAATTACCATGTCTCCTGCTTCTTTGGGAATGTGGATTGAATAAATAAATAAACATATGGGCATTGGGGGTCTCATATTCACTTGGGCTAATTATCTCTTAGTTGGTAACTCATTGTAGTTGATTATTGCATAAAACAGAAATTTACTAGACAAATTTCATTCAGTTTTTGTTTTAAGAATATAATAAAATAAATCATGTGTTTATGAAAATTTGCTTTAAAAATGTACTTTTCAGAGATGCTTGAGTTATTTTTGAGTTTATGAGTTGTGTACTAAATCATAGTGGTAGATGTGAAAATTTTTACTTAAGAAAATCAGTAGTATTTTAATGAATTTCTTTTTCAGATTACTTCCCATGAGAAAAAAGCACATGATAATTGGGTGAGTTTTAAATTCTCTTTGTCACGTTGTTCTTTTTCCTAACTGAAATGAGCAGTTTAAAAGGTACACTTTCACACTGCAAATTAGGTTAGTATTAAATAAAATCAGTTTCTTTTCATTTTACTGGTAGAGAAATTAAGTTCTTTATGAACTAAATACTTTGTTATAACACAGTTATTCACAAAATCTAGTTTTTCCCTCTTTGTTTTTACTTTGCAAGGAGCTTATATTCTCTCTGGGGGAGGTGATGTAATGTTTGTGGATTAATTGTTTGAGGACCCTGGATTACCACTGATACTTGTGGACAAGTTACTTAAAATTACTGGGCCTGTTTACTCATCTGTAAAAACAAAAGATTGAACTAAGTGATATTGAAAGCCTCTTCTAGTTGTGAAAGTTATACAGTTTGGGTATCTGATTCTCAGTGTTGAATTACTTGATACACATCAAGAAAAAGATCATAGTGAGAAATGGCATGTCAGTGCTCCAGAGGAGGACTGTGTAAGGAAATAATAAGGATATAGGTTTTACTAATTGTAGGAATGGTCTGTCTAATATGTAGAACTGTTGTAATAGCTGGTGTTTATAGGACTTGTCCCTAGGAGTCTTCAAGGGGAGACAGTTTGCCCAGTGGATGAACACATGGAGTCTGGAGTCAGCCTGTTATGGTTGGTATCCTGGTTCCATCACCTGTAACAACAACATCTGTTGTTTCCTTACCTGTAAGGAAAGATAGATAATATCAATAGTACCTATTTCATAGAGTTACTATGATGAGTAAGTAAGATAACTCACGTAAGGCTGTTAGCCAGGTGCCTGACACATTGTAGGCACTCAGTACATGTTAACTATTACTATACTGTTGCACTGAAGCTTGGGAGATATTTCTTAGATGTGGATATTTCTGGGAGTGGAGATTCCAGCATAGGTTGAGAATTAGACATGTTGAATTTCAGGGCTCTTCCCATTTCTCAGATTTTGTGTTGAGGGCTCAAGTGAAGATTTGTTATTGAATTAAGCTGGGCTTGGAGATGAATTTAATCTTTTGCACCACTCCCCACTACTTTCTGAATATTAAGAACAGATTATTTGAAGAACTGATGTTTGTTAGTCTCTTGTATTCTAGACACTATACTTAAAGGCATTTTGCATATATAACTCATTCAATCCACATAATAACTATAGAATAGGTATTATAACTCAAATTTTACAGATGAGGAAACAGCCCAAGGTCACATGATCAAAGAGTGAAGAGTAGAGATTGAAATTCTGACCTTTTTGATTCCAAGTCTGAGCTTTTTCTGTTACTGTACATATTGCATTTCTTGTTTAGTAAATAATGACATTGACTTTATGTTAAAACATGCAAAAAGGGGGCACCTGGGTGGCTCAGTCAGTTAAGCGGCTGCCTTTGGCTCAGGTCATGATCCCAGGGTCCTGGAATTGAGCCCCACGTCAGGCTCTCTGCTCAGCCCGGAGTCTGCTCCCTCTCCCTCTGCCTGCCACTCCCTCTGCGGGGGAATGTGAAAATGCAAAAAATATCCTTTATGTCTCAAAATGAAGATTTTTTAAAAAATATTTATTTATTTGAGAGAGGAAGAGAGAGAGTGCACATATGAGCAAGGGGAGGGACAGAGGGAGAGGAGGAAGCAGACTCCCCACTGAGCAGGGAGCCAGATCTAGGGCTCCATCCCAGGACCCTGCGATCATGCCCTGAGCCAAAGGCAGATGTTTAACCAACGGAGCCACCCAGACAGCCCTCAAAATGACTTTTTTTTAGATTTTATAAAAATAATGTATACTTAGTGAATAAAAAGTTCAGACTATATAGAAAAGATGTACAAAGAAGTAATTAACAATATCACTTTCATTTATTCTATACCTAAAAAAATATATTTAGACATAAATCACATGTATGTTTTGAAAACTGAAAACATGCTATATATAACTGTTTTATATCCTGCTTTATTTAATATATTGTAGATCTTTTTCTATGAATATTTTATAACTTTTTTTTTAAGATTTTTATTTATTTGAGAGGGAGAGAGTGAGTGAGAGAGAGCACAAGCAGGGTAAAGGGCAGAGGGAGAAGCAGACTCCCTGCTGAACAGGGAGCCTGATGTGGGACTCCATCCCAGGACTCCGGGATCATGACCTGAGCCAAAGGCAGGCGATTAACCGACTGAGCCACGCAGGCGCCCCTGAATATTTTATAATTTATATAAACCTTTCCCATTTGATAAATGTTTCCTTTGTTTCTACTTTTTTTTTTTTTTTAAGATTTTTTATTTATTTATTTGACAGAGAGAGACACAGTGAGAGAGAAGGAACACAAGCAGGGGGAGTGGGAGAGGGAGAAGCAGGCTTCCTGCTGAGCAGGGGAGCCCGATGCGGGGCTTGATCCCAGGACCCTGGGATCATGACCTGAGCCGAAGGCAGATGCTTAACGACTGAGCCACCCAGGCGCCCCTGTTTCTACTTTTTTACTGTTATAAATAATTTCACAATTTCAGATGTTACTTTTTCCTTTGAGCATTTTTTTGCTCCATCCCATTAGATCTAATCTTTTCTTCTTTTGAATTCACATAATACTTTGTTTTTATGTGTTCTATGGCAAGTACTCTGGTCATTTATAGTTGTTTTTACCACAGATTTAAGCTTCTTAAGATAGGGACTGTTTCTTTTCCCTTAATACCTGTACTTAATAGAATGCTTTTTTGCATATTGTAAGTATTTAATATCTGAATACAGTGTGGTCATTCATTGAAAGCACAGTTTTACCTAACCTTTGAAGTGTAACTTTTCAAAAGCTTGTAATCATTTAGCATCAGTGCATTTATATTTATATTTTTTGTAGCTATGTCTTTCGTATTGATAGCACTATAATCATAGTAGAATTTACTTTGGACTTACTAACTTTGCATTGTTTTGTGCCTTATAATTAAGAATAAATAGGTTATATTAAATGTATAGAAAACATTAAGAAGTAGTTTTGTTTCTGCATTATTAAATGAATTGGTATTTTATTAACTAAAATTGTTATGGTGTAATATTCTTTTTTTTAGTATAAAATTGATTATATGGTTATGTTAGAAAATGATTTATACGTGGAGTCTTTTTCATAATGAATGCTAAAATATGGTTAAGCTATGTTTTTTTTGTGTATGTGTGTGTGAATATTTAACATACTTTATTCTTTGGCCAGTTAATGTCAGTTTTAATGTGTAGTTCATAATTTTAAGTGAATACATTTGATAGTTCTTTTTACTTGTAAAAAGTTGTGATTATAGACTGAGTGAAGTTGCCTACCTTTGTATGATAAATACATTTGCCCAAGTGGATTGCATTAGTTTGGCCAGGTCTGATGTTCCAGACACTGCTACTTAACTGGAAAGTTCACTGAATGACTGGGAAACATGCAGTATTCCATACACGTTTAACCTTTGCCCACAAACTACTTAGGAATATTATATGTTCTTGGTATTTTTTATAAGTGTAAGTTTATTTTGTGATTTTCTAACATTTTATTAAATAAAAATTTCACTAAACAAATGTAAAAGACTATAGGAATTGATTTTAACAGTGCTGTTCACTTAACAGACATGCTGCATGCTTTGATTATATTCAGCCATTTTAAAAAATAGCCTATATGGGCATGCTGTGAAACTGTTATAGACCTTTATGGTTTCATTGCAAATAGTGATTTCTCTCCAGAGACGGCTGTCTATGATATTATAGCCAGTGTACCCATGCCTAATGATTCTGAGTCTCCATTCCCATCACCCTAAGCTTGGGTCCTCTTACATTGCTTTTGTCATGTTACTTGGATATTGACAGCAGGAAATAGTGCTAATCCTTGACTTCACATCTAGATGACAGCATTCATTGGCAAGTATGTGATCAGACTCCAGCCTTGAGACTCATGTCTTCTGGTTATAGGAAACTCATACCCTTTTAAACAATTCCCTAAATTAAAAAAATTTTACGATGAGTTTCTGAAATGGATACTTAAGTGATTGTGATATTTATGAATACTTATCTCTCATTTTACGTTTGTATGTGTTATTTTTAAAATGTATTTTCAAAAAAAGATAAAAAATGTATTATTTTCTTTAAGTTGGCAGCTCGGACTGCTGAAAGAAATCTTAATGATTTGAGGAAAGAAAATGCTCACAATAGACAAAAGTAAGTTTCTTTGTGGGAACACTTTAAAGCTTTAGTTATTACTTTATTTTTAATTGTTATTTATTATGTAGTACTTTTATAGGGATAAATAAAACTTGCATGGATCCAGCATATCTGGTGGTGAAATATTTATTAGTTTTACTATGAGTTACTAGATTTTTTTTTGTTTGAAACACTTGTCTTAGAGAAGTTATTTTAACAGAGGTAAACTGTTCACATGTTTTTCTGTAAAAAGCATAACTTAAAAAGAAATTTTTTTTTAAACCAGAATAGGAAGAAGGTGATTACAAAGGATGGAAAGAGAAAGGACAAATCTCTGATGTAGTAATTCTCAGAGTAATGGCATCTTTTAGTAGATGAATGGGTAGAATAAATGTTTATTGTTTCTCTCATTCTCTGGTTTTCTTGTATTGGATGACAGTGCCTTACAATAATAAAATGAAAGGGAGAATAAAAGTTTACAATGTATAATCAAAAGGAAGAGTAAATACTTTTCTAGGAGGATTATAATAGTCTTCCCAGGTGTTAAAATTTCTTGCCAGAATGTACTATTAACATTATCCAATATTAGTTTAGTCTTTTTGCTGGTCTTTTCTACTCTGAAATGAAAACTCCATGATTAAATGTTTTATTATGTTTTATTTCAGATCCGATGATCAAAAACTAGAAATAAGATTTCTTTTAAAATGTCACATTTTTCAGATAAAAGGTTTAGGAGTAAAATAGTAGGATGAGTTCACTGAATTCTTCATGTTATGATTGGAATCGTGGGTAACATTAAATGGAAAGCAGACATGACTCAGAGCTAGGAGCCCTGTGTTTAATCCTTGCACTTTCATTCTGAATAAATCATGTAAATTTTTAGCCTGTTTCTTTGGTTATAAAGTGATAGATTTGAACTGGTTGACCTTGGAAGGCCCTGCTATTTCTAAAATTTGGGTTCTGTGATAATAGTATTCACTGTAGTTTAGTTTTGAAAACAGAACAATAGAAAGGTATTTTGGTCAGAATGTTTGTTTATTGGTTTCTTTTTTAATTTTAATTCCAGTCTAGTTAACACACAGTGTTCTATTAGTTTCAGGAGTACAATATAGTTATTTGACGATTATATATATTACTCATAAGAATAATTTTAAAGATCTGTTTCTTCTATGTAGATATTGAGGTAGTGAAGAGTACCTTATACTTGGTAGTGGCATTTTTCTTGAAATGTGGGTGCTTTTCTTGGATGAGTAACTTAGAGATGTTTGTTCTTTATTTGCAGATTAACTGAAACAGAGTTTAAATTTGAACTTTTAGAAAAAGATCCTTATGCACTTGATGTTCCAAATACAGCATTTGGCAGAGGTAGTCTTTTTTTTTAAACCCTCCTTTAAAATACATATATACATATGTATATATTGCACATACCTTTTGTATTAGTGTAAATTAATACTATTATTTTATAAATATTTTAGATTTTGGAGCCAGGATTCTAATCTGAATTCTATCATAATCTCCCAAGTTTCTGAGTTTTGTTTCCCTAGCAAAAATGTAAATAATTGCTGCCTCCATTTCTCAGTGACTGTTTACATATCCACTATTCTTTGGAATTTGCTTGAAATATAAAAACAAGAATTATAACAGTTGTTTTTAATTATTTAAAAGTATCAATTAAGGTGGGAAAACATTAATAATCTGAGCTTTCATTGCTTTAATTACCTCCAAGAGAGGACCTGTTCTTTGGAAGATGTATTTAATATTCTTGTCCACTCATTAATGAGTTAGCATTTTTAATGATCTCATTCTGTTCCAAATAGTTTAAATTTTTCAAAATAATTTTTGGTTGAATTGGAATTAAGCATCTAAGGCAGTGAAAAAACTATCTTTATAAAGGTGGAATCCCATTTTAATAACTGCTTTGAAGGAATAAAAATCACTTTTGAGAGTCTAATTTCATTAAAATGAAGATATTTTTACATTTAACAAAATAGATTATTATTAATTTCAAATAGTAATAAAGTTTGGAGTGGTGGGAATTATACAGAAGGAATTCTCTTCTGAACCTAATGCAGAAGTTTCAGAAAGATTAAATAATGCTTTGATCTTTTGTTGTAACTGCATTTGACTATTATATAAGCTACATAATAAAATTTAACATGTTTAAAAGTATTATTTTGGTGGTACTTAAGCTTGTTTTTTAATGTTGTTGATTTTTGATCTTTGGAAGCATAATCATTACTTGGGAGTGGTGAGGTTTGTAAAATGATAGGGCTCTTGGTTATATGGTTTATAAAGTGATTTATTTGCTGAATAAATGCAATCTGAATTTTCAGTGGGAATGAATCAAAAGTAGTTTCTGATGCTTCAGAGGATTTTGCACTTCTACTTTTCAAAATCTGAGCTTTACTCAAATAATTCATGGCCCAACACAGACTATCTGGCTCTAATTTAAACCGAGCCCTTTTATATTACAACCCTCACCAGCTGAACTATCTGGAAGCATACTGCCATTAAAAGCAAAACCAAACAAACTTCATAGCCCCCAAATCCTTTTATACCTCTAAAATATCACCATTATCCTTTGCTTATTAATATTGTATGGTTATTTAAGTGTGTTAGTTACCAAGAGGATAATGTTTTTATTGACTGCAGTATCCATTTGGTAGACAGACTTTAAAAACACAGGGTTCCATATTTAATTCTATCCCATATTAGCAAAACCCAAGGCATAGTTAGTATTCAGGATGTGGATTAAACTTAAATTGGCAATAGGGTGACCTGATGGAAATTGTTGAAATGGAATTCTAATCTATAGTGTAGCTAATTGAAACTATGAATTTAAACATGCTGTTTTAATTATTCCAGAGCATTCCCCATATGGTCCCTCACCATTGGGTCGACCTTCATCCGAAACGAGAGCTTTTCTCTCCCCTCCAACTTTGTTGGAGGGTCCACTCAGACTCTCACCTTTGCTTCCAGGGGGAGGAGGAAGAGGTATATTGTTTAAACATCTTTATTACTCTAGATTTCTTCCTTATTTTATATTTTCATCTCAACTTATCTTTAAAATGATCTTTAAAATAAACCTTTGGATACAGGCATTCCTTGCACTTATTATGGGTTGCTTTTGTTTGGAAAAGGAGCTCTGTGATATTTAATTTTAATATACTTTTAGAAATAGGATTATAATAGGTTACATTTTGATCAAGCACTTGATGTATATCTCTTTAAATCATTTTGACTTCTTAAAAACTATATATTATACTACATAATACAGCACTATATAAAGAATGCATAAAATACAATAACAATCTAACCTAGCATAAAATTGTATTTTAGGGCGCCTGGGTGGCTCAGTTGGTTAAGCAACTGCTTTCGGCTCAGGTCATGATCCTGGAGTCCCGGGATCGAGTCCGCATCAGGTTCCCTGCTCAGCGGGGAGTCTGCTTCTCCCTCTGACCCTCTGCCCTCTCATGTGCTCTCTCTCTCTCTGTCCCTTTCTGTCTCTCAAATAAATAAAATCTTTAAAAAAAATTTAAAAAATTGTATTTTAATGAAACATTATTAAAATGGAGAATTTCCAAAATCTTTTTTTACTTCATGATCTTTTTATTGTAGAAAATCAGAAAGTGAAAGAAAGAACCTTTTTTTTAGAGTAATTCAGAAGTACTATCTTGTAGGCAGTTTTGATGAGAGCCTTAAAGGAGACCTAAATGATTTATTAATACTTGGAGAAACTGACTCAGGATTGTCTGCTTTGTTACCCTGTATGGATTTTTGAGAATTTCAGCAGCTATTTCAAGCCTGTGCATTAGCTCTTGGTCTTTGTGCATTTACTTCATCAGCACTAACCCTGGTGTTACCTATGTACCTGGAGTTTTCCTCATTTGATCTTTTACCATACTTTGTTCACTTCGTCAAGTTGCTTTAAAATTTTCCCTTGAATTGTGGCAAAATGCAAAGATATAGAGAGCACTGTTTATTCCCAAATGAAAAGTCTTAGGTTTTTAGCCCTAAGTGTGTATTGTATAAGAGCTGATAGTATTCTTCATTAGTGTTGTGATCCCATTCCCCCCCTTTTATTAGTGATTTTAGCATATTGAATCTAAGATAGGAAGAGAAAGTAATGAGACTAAATCAAAACACCAAACTAAACCCAACTTATCAAAGCTCATATATTGAAATGGATACTACTTATCAAAATAGTCTCTCACAGAGGCTGTACTTCCTTGTTGAAGTGCCATTATTTTAAATATTTTTGGAGCTCTTTCTTTGGAGCTATTTCTTTGGGATTACCTTCAAAGAATAAGAAAATGAATTTTCTACTTTATGGTTATGGGATATTCTCCCTTTGCCCATTTCCTATTTACATATTCTTTCCTTATTCTCAGTTTGGTATACTTAGCGCTGATCTCTCCTACTTCCCAGTCCCACTGCTGATTGGACCCACAGCCTGGAGACATTTCAGATATCTTTGCTTGTGTTGGCTTTGAACTGAAAACTCCTAGGGAAAGAGTGAGTTGCAGACTGACACTTGAAGCCCTGGGCGAGCTTTGCCTTGAGCACTTTAGGAAGGGGACTAATTTTGAAATTCACATGTGTGCTATAAGTGCCCTGAAATTCATTTTCCCCCTGATTTTTCACCTTGATCCCAGTAAGAAATATATTTTATATCATGTCCTATTATACACCAACATAAATGTAATAGAAACTATTTATATGAAATAGTACTACCCTTACTATTTTTGATGCTTTCTGCTATTTTCTATTCATTTCTATTCCATTTCAATAAAAAAAATTGCTGATTAAGAGTAAATTAATTTCATGCACCATGATGGGTTGCAGCCAGCAGTCTGAAAAATAGTGCCCTAGAAATAAAGGTATAATTGGCTAAACTGCAAATGTGAATCACTGAAAGTTGAGTAACATAAGTCAAGGATTGCTTGTAGTCAATTGAATATTTGGAATAAGAGTAAAAATTACCTTTGATTTCTCCTCTCCTATTTAAATTACTTTCCTTTAATTACTTTCAAGAAATGATGTGTTTAGAATATTTGCAAGGGTGTTTTGCTGTTTGTTAGAAAAGCTACAGAAGTTTTAGGTAAGTTATCAGTAGGTCTTAAAAGAGTTGCTTTGAAGTAAAAGTTCCTGTGACCTACCAAAGAAGCATGATGAGTGCCCTTTTCTTTCCTTTTATTATCTTTTTAAATTTGAAAGTTTGGGTGAGATATATGTTCAAATAAGATGGAGTATAAGGAAAATAATTTCTTTTTAGAGTAAATTTCATGTAACTTTTGGTCTGAATGAAAATTTTAACATTTAGCATTTTCAAGTTTGTAATTTTTCACCTGGTAGTCAGTTGGCCTGTGCTTTGGTTCTCTGAAAGGAAGCAATCAAGAGAAGGCCTTCGTCTCCTTTAAAGATCTGTGCTTCACTCTAGATGAACTCAGCCTAATTGACTCTCGGCACATTTTTTACCAATTTAATTTTCTGCTTTCCCAGCCTTTTTCTTCTAATGAACTTATTTAGAAGGATGAACAAGCTAGAAGGAAAGATTGGGGGAAATTAATAGAATATACAACTATAAGGAAAAGAGATAGTTGACCTTCTGAATATAAAAGTCAGTTTACCTCCTGACTGTACAAAGGGAGTAGATAGAAAAATTTTTAAAAGATCACTGTATATTTATATATATAATATATATATATTTATTATATATATAAAAGGATTCTTACACTGATTTGAGCAAGTTACCAAGAAAACATTAAATTGGTTTTAGTCTGTTAGAGGTATACTGAAATGTGGGAAACATTTTGGGAAGATTTCTATTAAAAAGGTTTTTTTTTTTTTTTTTTTTAAATTAAAAGTTATTCCTTGAAAGGAAAAAGCTTTTGTTTTCTGGGCAATATAATTTTGAGAAGACCTTATTCTCCCTTCAGTGACAGATAAATGAAGTATTAACATATTTTGTTATTTAATTTTTAAAAAATTTTGTATTTACTTTTTCCATTTTAATTGAATATGTTATTAATTGAGGTACTGTCCTTTTTGTGATCATAAGAAGGGAACTTTATAATGATTATCTTCTTTTATAAATGCAAGCATGCTGATTTCCTTATCCATGTGAATGTTACCTTGTTCAAAGTGTTTATCCCAACAGTGCTGTTGTTTTTAAAACTCTTGTTTTAGACTTGCCTTCAGAATTGTGAGCTCTTTTTGAAGGTGAATTTGATATTCAGAAATTGCTAAAAGCCCTTTAAAGCCACATTTATCTGGTGGGTATAAAGTTTGTAATCAGACTGGTTAAAATTATTTTTGGACAGAAGTAGAGTCCTGTTTCAACATTGAGATGTAGTTTCTTGAGTGGCTCTTAAGTTAATCTGAGTATATTTCTAAAAGAGTTGTTCTAAAAAATACTGTGAGTAGTTGTAGAATTAGTGAAATAGGTGTATAGCGCCTAAGATGACTGTTTTAAAAGAATCATGCTCTCTTTGACTATTGGCATATTAGTGTAAGCAACAAAAACCTCATTTTATAATTATTCCATCTGATATAGAAATCTTTACTTTGCAATTTACTTTATACTCCTGTTTTTCAGACTTAGTATGTGTAATTCACAGTTTAGCTACTGATTTTATGTATAAATGATGATGGTTATAACATTTATAAATGACTTTAATGGGCAGTTGTTTGTTTATATACATGGCAAAACTATTATTTCCTCATTGTCCTAGACTTTGTCCTAGGCTTTGGTAGGATAGAATTGTAGTCTAATGTGTCTTAGGGAAACTTTGTTGAAATCTGATTGTTCTCACTTTTTAAAAGCTACCTGGATTTCATTTGATGATAGGTCTTATAATACTTTTTTAGGTAAAACAGAATTGTATTTTTTTCTTTAATTAGGTTCAAGAGGCCCAGGGAATCCTCTGGACCATCAGAATACCAATGAAAGAGGAGAATCAAGCTGTGATAGGTTAGCTGATGCTCATAGAGCACTTTCTGACACTGGGTCCCTTTCACCTCCATGGGAACAGGATCGTAGGATGATGATCCCTCCATCAGGTATGGAAAGAATATAATTATTTATATTTGAAAGGCAACCAGTCTGTGCAACATAGAGGAATGGAAGAAAAGAGGAATACATGTATGTCCTGTCTTAAGAAAAACCATGATGTATATTAGAAAACAACAGTAACATAAATCTCCAAACATAAAAATTAGGGGTAATTGTTCATGTTACAGAAATCTGCTTTGCTCCCCTCAAACCCTCCCATGGAATATCTTTATTATTTTTGTTGCTCATAGAAGTAATACATGTTTATTTTGGAAAATCCAAACAATTGTGGGCGCCTGGGTGGTGCAGTCAGTTAAGCATCAGATTCTTGGTTTGGGCTTAGGTCGTGATCTCAGGGTTGTGGGATTGAGCCCTGCATCAGGCTCTGCGCTCAGCACAAAGTCTGCTTACGATTCTCCCCCCCTTTCCGTCTGCTCCTTCTCCCCACTCTCTCTCTCTCTCAAATAAATAAATAAATCTTAAAAAAAAAAACCCTAAACAATGGAGAAATGTGTAATTAGGAAAGTGAAAAAATCTCCATCATCATCTTAGCATACCTTTCTAAGAATTTAATTTTATATCTTTTAAAAGGTGCATGTTGTACTTTTTGGGTTTGTTTTGTTTTGTTTTTGAGCATATGTTCATAAACATAAATATAAAAATTCCTTCACTTCGGGGCGCCTGGGTGGCTCAGTTGGTTAAGCAACTGCCTTCGGCTCAGGTCATGATCCTGGAGTCCCGGGATCGAGTCCCGCATCGGGCTCCCTGCTCGGCGGGGAGTCTGCTTCTCCCTCTGATCCTCCCCCTCTCATGCTTTCTGTCTCCCATTCTCTCTCAGATAAATAAATAAAAAAATCTTTAAAAAAAAAAATTCCTTCACTTCTCTGCAATTATACTGTTCACCTTCTTGAGATTGTCTTTTCTCATTGAACAAAATGTCTTAGATTAACGGCTAAAATAAATATATTTACCAGAAGAGTCATAGCAGAATATCCCAAAGGAAGGCGATAACTGCTATTTTCCTAATAGCTCTTACTTTCCCAAGAAATATATTTAAAATTATTTGGTTTGCTAAACTTTATTTAGGCATAGTGTTTCAGGGACACTGTTATGTGAAGTGAGCTATGCCTGCTTTGTATACATTAGTTACATTTAAAAAAAAATATTTCCGATTCCTTCCTGAGGAGTTGGAGAGAGTAAGAATATTATAGTAAAAGAACTTTAATTCCAAGAATCAGCTCTTGCTGTAGTAGTGTGTGTATGTTCTAAGATATGGTGGCTGCCTATACTGTGGTTTTGCTTTGTTTGCTATCACTAAATATCAGCTTCATGAAGACAGAGAGTTGTGTCACTTTGTTCACTGCTATAGCCTCAGCACCTAACACAATGCTAGGCATGTAGTATTTGCTCAGCAAATATTTGTTGTTGTTGGTGTTTTTTTTTAAAGATTTTTTATTTATTTATTTGAGAGAGAGAATGAGATAGAGCATGAGAGGGGGGAGGGTCAGAGGGAGAAGCAGACTCCCTGCCGAGCAGGGAGCCCGATGCGGGACTCGATCCCAGGACCCTGGGATCATGACCTGAGCCGAAGGCAGTCGCTCAACCAACTGAGCCACCCAGGCGCCCCTCAGCAAATATTTGTTGAATGAATGACTACCCAAATGATTCTGACAAAGCTGAGAATTTTTTTTATATTTGGAAATCTATTTGCTGTGACGTACATACTTAAGAATCTTTTAGGGAATAGCATAGAACATCTTCTTTCATACCTTTAATATTCATTAAAAAGTTTTGCTGTGATAAAAATAAAGATAATAAACCACAGCTCCTTTCTCAAAGGACTTGGTTACAAGATTTTGGTGGATATCATATCTCTACATACAGAACTTTGAGAATTTACAAGCTATTAGTACCAAGAGTCCCTGTCACATGCACTGCATAGCTCTTCAGGAAAATCTAGTGTAGTGGCTCAAAGTTGGCTCATCTTCAGAAATAACTTAGGAAACTTCAAGGAAAATGCAGATACATCTGGGTCTCACCTCAGATCAGGCCTTCTGAATGTGAATTTTGGAGTAAAGCCTGTATTTCTAAAAAAACTCCCTTGGAGGTTCTGAGGAGCAGCTACATCTAAAAACCACTAATCTAAACCTCCCCCCAAACTCCACTAATCTATTCATTTCCCTTATTATTCAGAAAGAACACTGAGTCCTCAAAGAGATTAGCTGACAGTCTTAGGTTAAAACAGCTAGGCAAATAGCAGAGACTAGAACTCAGACAGTAATGACTTTGTTATTGTCCATTCATAAAATTAGAAAATATTTTACATGTTCTTTAAAAATTGCCTGAAACCTATAATTTTAGACCTTTTGAAATTGTTTCATAGATCGCTGAATCTTTTCATTTTGTTTCCAATTTTTTTTATTCTTTTGGTTGAATAATTTCTGTTGATCTTTCTTTAAGTTTACTGACTCTTCCCTCTGTCATCTCCATTCTGCTATTAATATTAAGCCCATTCAGTAAAAGTTTTATTTTAGATACTATATTTTTCAGTTCTAGAATTTTCATTTTTTTATACTTTTGCCATCTCTCCTGAGATTTCTTTTTATTCATTATAAGCATTTTCTAAATCTCATTGAGCATAGTTTTTTTAAAAAATATTTATTTATTTTTAGAGTGAGAGAGACCATGCATGAGTGGGGGAGGGGCAGAGGAGAAGGAGAGAGAGAATCCCAAGCCATCTCCACACCGAGCAGGGAGCCTAACTCAGGGCTCGATCCCAGGACCCCAAGATCATAACCTGAGTGGAAACCAAGAGTCGGACGTTTAACTGAGTGAGCCACCCAGGCGCCCCTGAGTATAGTTTTTTTTTTTTTTTTTTTAAAGATTTTATTTATTTGACAGAGAGAGACACAGCGAGAGAGGGACTACAAGCAGGGGGAGTGGGAGTGGGAGAGGGAGAAAGCAGGCCTCCCGCCGAGCAGGGAGCCCGATGCAGGGCTCCATCCCAGGACCCTGAGATCATGACCCGAGCTGAAGGCAGACGCCCAACAACTGAGCCACCCAGGCACCCCCTGAGTATAGTTTTTTAATAGCTGCTTTAAGGACCTTGATTGATCTTTTTTTTTTTAATTTTTTAATTTTTAATTTTTAATTTTATTTTTTTAAAGATTTATTTATTTGAGAGAGAGAGAGCGCACATGATGGGGGGAGGGTCAGAGGGAGAAGCAGACTCCCCACTGAGCAGGGAGCCTGATGCAGGACTTGATCCCGGGACTCCAGGATCATGACCTGAGCTGAAGGCAGTCGCTTAACCAACTGAGCCACCCAGGTGCCCCTCTTTTTTTTTTTTTTTTTTTTTTTTTAATTTTTTTATTCTTATGTTAATCCCCTGACCCTCTTTTTTTTTTTAAAGATTTATTTATTTATTAGAAAGTCCACGAGCATGGGGTTGGGGGGAGCAGAGGGAGAATGAGAGAGAGAGAATCCCAAGCACACTCCTGGCTGAGTGCAGGGTCTGACGGGGCTTGGCCTCACAACCTTGAGGTCATGATCTGAGCCGGAATCAAGAGTCGGATGCTTAACTGACTGAGCCACGCAGGTGCTCCAAGACCTTGTATGATCATTCTAATATTAGGGTCATTTTGAGGATGGCCTCTTTTGATTGTCTTTTCCCTTCAAATTGGGTCACCTTTTCTTGTTATACAGAGTAATTTGGATTGTATCCTAGACATAATGGGGATTCTAGATTTTACTGTATTTCTTTGAGGAACTCAAAGTTAGATTTTTTTCCTCAATAGACAGCAGTCCAAATATTGTTCAGTTTTTTGCCTTAGCTGAAAATGCCTTAAGCTTACTTCACACATTTGTGGTTCAGGGGTCAGCTATTGAGTTGGGCAAAAATCTCAGATTCTTAGGCTCACTTCTTTGGCTCTCCTGGGCTCTGTCCTTTGGTTTTTCAAGCCACAATTTCTATGGGCTTTGACTGCTCTGTGCTGTAGCTTGACTATGGTCTGCCTTCAGGCTAAACTATAAAAAATGGAAAACTCACCACATAGTGGTACCTTCTTCCAAGTTCTCAACCTTTTACCAAATCTGTCTATTTTTGTTCATGCTTCAGAGCCTTCAGGTAGTTATTTTATTTTACTATTTTTAAATTTTTAATGTTTTTCCAGTTTTATTGAGCTATAATCTATAAACATCACTGTATAAGTTTAAGGTGTACAGCATAATGATTTGCCTTATATATATATATTGTGAAATGATTATCACAGTAAGTTTAGTTAACATCTGTCATCTAAGTACCAAAGAATATGTGTATATATATGTATTTTCCTTGTCATGAGAATTCTTAAGATTTCTCTTAACTTTCCTTTGTGTCATACAGCAGTGTTAGCTACAGTCATCGTGTCATACATTATATCCTTAGTACTTATTTATCTTATAACTGGAAATTTGTATCTTTTGACCATCTTCATTTAGTTCTCCCTCTCCCTACTCTGGTCACTACAAATCTGATCTCTTTTTTCTAGAGTTTGTTTTTTGTTTTTGTAGATTCCATATATATAAGTGAGATCGTACAGTATTTGTCTTTCTCTGCCTAACTTAGTATAATGTCCTTAAGGTCCATCCATGTTATCAGAAATGGCAGGATTTCCTCCTTTTTTAATGGCCGAATAATATTGTAATGTGTGGATATAGCACATTTTCTTTCTTTCTTTTTTTTTTTTTTAAGATTTATTTATTTGTCAGAGAGAGAGAGCGAGCGAGAGAGAGAGCACAAGCAGGGGGAGCGGCAGGCAGAGCAGTAGAGGGAGAAGCAGGCTCCCTGCCGAGCAAGGAGCCCGATGCGGGACTCGATCCCAGGACGCGGGGATCATGACCTGAGCCAAAGGCGGATGCTTAACTGACCTTGCCACCCAGGTGTCCCTATAGCACATTTTCTTTATTCATTCATCTATTGATGGCTCTTAGATTGTTTCCATATCTTGACTATTGTAAATAACACTGT